CCTCTCTAGTGTCATGATGAGGTTCAGGTAAAGCACGGTTAATGTATGTTACAACCTGCCTTAAGGCTGGAACAAATAGGGAGGCCACACAGAGTTAAATGCCAAATATCTGTTTATTTAACAGGTTAAAGAAAAACACCTCTGATGAATAGTGTACGTAAGAATCAGACTGTCAGTAGTGTGAGCAGTGTGTGGGTGTGTGGAAGGGTGTTGTAGCATGTTGGAGGGTGCATCAAACCTAACACAGGTTGTAGGCTGAGGTTGCTGCAGCATGCCAGAATCAGAGACTGATCCTTGCAGCTGGGCAACCTTTATACCTTCTTGAGGCTCCGCCTCTAGATGGGCGGGCACAAACAGGACGACCCTCCCAGTACCTGCCAGAGGACAGCAAGGCAGGGAGCACAGCCAGGCAGAAGGGGTCGTCACACCCCCTCCCTTAAAATGGAGGACCCACTAGGATCCTCCAACCTGGGGCACAAAATCACAGACACAAAACACAATAGACAAAACAAGGTTAATCTTGAAATGTTCATACAACCTGCAAGCACATCTGTAGCATCTAGCTCAACCCCTCAGCAACTTTGGTACCTAAGAAGCATTTTAAGAGAGGGCAAACAGAAAAAACAGACACCCTTGCAAGGAGAAAAACACTAGTTAACCGAAGAGGTTATAGCCCTGGACATGGCATCAGCCACTGTATTATCCACACCTTTGACATTTCTAATGTCCAGATGAAAAGGGTGGAGGAAGAGACACCAACGTATAAGGCGTTTGATTAGATCAACTAATTCTGTTCGCTGTGGCTCAGTTACATGACTCAACATTTCATCCGGTAGAACTTGGCTGTACAGAGCCTGAAGGGTGGGATCGTTCTTTTGCTCATTCCCAAGGTCGCTACAAGGCAAAGGAAAGGTAGGCACAGGAAATACAGATTCTTTTTTCTTATCTTTTGTAAGGTCACAAACATTACGGCTGGCAGCACGTGTTACTGCGCCGGTGGCAGGCATCACAGAAGGGGTTTTGGGGAACTTCGCACCTTCTACCTGGGTGATTGGAGACCCAGGCCATACCCGATCACCAGCCAGGTCATTTCCCAAGATGATCTGTATGCCCCCCATAGGCAGAGAAGGACGCACTCCCATGACCACTTCCCCTTGCAGCAGACTGGAGACTAATGTCAGTTTATGCTGTGGAGCAGAGAAGACGGTTAATCCCATCCCCCGGACCTCAACACTGGAACCGGTGTCTGAGAGAAAGGTAACACAGAACCAACAATAAACGAGTCCAACGCCCCTGAGTCCCTTAATATCTTTACCGGTACCTTCTCTTTACTCCCGACCAGTGAAACAAAACCATCAGACACAAAAGCTTTATAACCAGGGTCTATCTCCTCATGTTCACTGACAGGAGCCTGAATTACTGATTCAGATAAAGAGGACTGAGTGTGTTTCCGCACAGCCGCAATGACACTTTCCCTTTCCACTGCACGTAACGATGCCACAGCCCCAGACGCTTTTGCCGACACAGCCCCAGGCCTGGACTTTCTCTTCCACTCAGGACAATCGTTTCTCCAGTGTCCTTTATTAAAACAGTAATTACAGATACGATTGGGGTCAAACTTACCCCGATTCCCACGGTCAATCCTAACTGGAAATGTATCTTTTCCTTCTGCAACACCTTCACTGTAGTGAGCCCCCTCACTACTCTCTTTGTATCCCGCATCTCCACGACCACGGCTGTCGCCAAAAAACACTTTATGGGTCAGAGTAAACTCATCTTCCAGCTTGGCTGCCTCTGAAACTCTGTTTACTTTCTGCTCATTAATGTAGGTAACAACACGGTGAGGCAAGGTACTTTTGTATTGCTCAAGCAAGATAAGCTCCTGCAGATCTTCCAGAGTTTTAACCTGTGAGGAAACACACCAACGGTTCAAACTAGTGGTTAAATCACGAGCAAACTCCATGTGTGACTGCTTCTCTTTTCTGAGTAACCTAAAGCGCTGTCGATATGCTTCAGGTACTAACTAAAATGCCCGAAGTACAGCAGCTTTCACCAACTGGTAATTGCTACTGTCTTCAGCAGTCATGGCAGCGAAAGCCTCCTGGGCCTTTCCAGTGAAGACACACTGAAGCAGAAGGGTGCGCTCAACATCAGACCAGTCTCGTGCCTCTGCTAGACGCTCAAATAACACAAAGAAAATGTCTTGGTCCTTTTCGTTGAACCTCGGAACTATCCTCAAATTAACAGCAATATCAAATGCTTGATTTACAGGAACCTGACCTACAGTTTCTGCAGCTCTCCTAGTCTCAGATGGAAGCTTACCTTCACTCATCAGCTCCAATCTATAGCGCTCCAAGTCTAAATTTTGTCTAACCTGAACTTGAGCCATATCCACTTCCTGAAGACGGGCATTTTGTCTCAACTTTTCAACCTCCACATCACGTTCCAAGTGTAGCATTATAAGCTCTTTCTGTTCTTTAAATGATAGTCCAACCCCAAGTCCAGACAGGACTGGAACCACACCTGAAACATTACCTGACTCAATTGACTGTTGGGAGGTACGCCCCAGAAAGACAGACAAAACACTTTTTCCACTAACTGTGCCTTTATTTCTACCAACAACTCCTCTTTATTCAACTTTTTGGGAAGTTCAAGACCGTAATGGTCAGCCACTCTCAAAAGCTGATCTTTTTTATAAGTACCCAACAAATCCTCATTTGGGGACTCAACAAAATCCTCAATAGAAGCCATTTAACTGTTTACTGACCAAGGCAAGGTTTTCCAGCAGTAACTGATTGTGAAAGACAGCTTTACATATGGAGACCCCACTCCTCTGGCTAACTACCTTACCAAATGCTTACTGAATCACTCAACCCTAGTCTTCGTGTAGAATTGTGGGAGGATTTTAAGCACAAAAGCCCAGTGACCCGGTTAATTCTCAGCAATTGAAAATCACCTAGGCAGTCATGGAGTGCACCCGAGCAAATGCTCTAGCCACTTACTACACAAAAATAACAAACAAAAACAAAAAAAGGTTCAATGGAGACAGCTTGTGTCTCTCATTGCTTATACCTAACAGGAATAAGGGTTCCAAACATTTGACAGCCTTTAACACAAAACCGCAATACCGGAAAACATAGCTTGCCTTGGACAGAAACACAACTGTGAGTAAGACCAACCTGACCTATTTTCCCCTACAAAACTCAGAGTCAACCAACAAGCTGTGTGAACACCCCCCGACTGAAATAGGTCACCATGCCCTTTATCCAGCACCGGAAATTATCCTGGACGATCCCCCACTTGTTACAACCTGCCTTAAGGCTGGAACAAATAAGGAGGCCATACAGAGTTAAATGCCAAATATGTTTATTTAACTGGTTAAAGAAAAACACCTCTGATGAATAGTGTACATAAGAATCAGACTGTCAGTAGTGTGTGGGTGTGTGGAAGGGTGTTGTAGCATGTTGGAGGGTGCATCAAACCTAACACAGGTTGTAGGCTGAGGTTGCTGCAGCATGCCAGGATCAGAATCAGAGACTGATCCTTGCAGCTGGGCAACCTTTATACCTTCTTGAGGCTCCGCCTCTAGATGGGTGGGCACAAACAGGACGACACTCCCAGTACCTGCCAGAGGACAGAAAGGCAGGGCGCACAGCCAGGCAGAAGGGGGGAGGGGTCGTCACATGTATTATAGTATTGAGGGAGAATTGTCCGGGGCAAAATAAAAAACATCCGGGGCCAGGCGACGCGCCTGATTAGAACTTAAGAGTTCTGATGAACTGAGTACTGGGAACTAAGTACGGCAAATTACTTGGTGTGAAAGTGCCTAATGCTTCTAAAATTGTTCTGTGTCAGAATACTGAAATCTGTATTTTTTTTGTTCTGTGTTTCCTTCTAATTTGTTATTATTTACCAGTGGCGAACCATCAGGGCCTTCAAGGTATTCAGAGAATACCCTGGAACACTCAGATAAAAAAATAAATAAAATCGATTTAATTATATAAATAAAATCTGTGTTGTTGATCTGTAATATTACAGTGTTACGTTGATTTGTTTGTCCTTCTCGGACCATACACTACGCATTTCAGTGGTTTTGTGTTAGAAAAGAAAGCAACCAATCAGATCTTGTTCTGGGTCTCTGGGTAGAATATCCTTCAACCAAGGTATTCTACATCCTTGATCCTTAACTGGCTCGAGACAGAGGATCTAGAACGAATGCGACGAAACAATTCATGCCGTTTTATTGTTTTTAACGTTGAAATGACAAGTGCAACAGGTGAAGATGAAGTTGTTGCGGATTTGTTGCGAGTACCCTTTTCAAGACAATTCAGGGAAAAGACGGACATTATAATGCCGCGGCGGGGGGTTGGTTTGTCTACAGAAGGTCCAGTTGTGATAGACTGTTATTTACATTGCTTTTAAAAACGTTCTGTGTGACACGGAAAAAATGGCGAAATCGTGTTGGTGAACACGAATCATTAGATTAATTTCGTGACCATAACACGAAATGCCGTGAGATTACAGCTAACTGCTACAATGTCTTTTTCATAGGAAGACATCGAGCAATTAACTAGCTAGCTGCTACCGCTAACACTGTCTCTTCCCTTTACAACTGAGTAATTCATCCTGACTCACGATCAAACCAAGCAAATTAGCTGGATAGTGAGGTAACATGTTTAACACTGTTAACATTAGTAAAAGGAGAAGTCAGTCAGTTATTAATAATTTGGAGCAGTTGGTTGATTTAGAATTACGAGTGTTGTTGCTTAAGCTAACTGGCTACATTCAGGTACAGTGATGGTTGGCTAGCTGCTAGCCAACTTGCAACTTGCCAGCTAGCATGCTGGGTGCACGTGATTAGCTGAAAGATGTTGACACTGTATTTCTCTCATGGCTTTACACAGAGCACAACAACGGTCCAAGAATATTTTTTTTACAACACAGACTATAATATAAGAGGAACAGAGATGATTGTTTTAATGGCATGAAAGGACACAAAATGGTGTTGTATTTGGTTTATTTCATCTCCTGTCTCATAAACCAGTCAGCAAAGCAGTTTATGTTCACAGAGACAAACCTGATTGTTTTCATTTTTCCTTTACTACTTTGTTAAAGTCTTTCTTTTTTCTCCAGATCTAAAATCTTAAAACTCAAAGCAGGATACTTAGAGATGAATGTGATTCTGAGCAAATGGGCCGATGCCAAAATACAGTGTGTTGGTTGAGTGAGTCGGGTGAAGAAGGGTGAGATAACCACGCAGAGTCAAAGAGCTCAGTGACGGGGGGACTAATGTGACTGCAGTCAAAACTGTTGGTGTGTGTTCCTGTTCTGTTCCACAAGTCCGTTCCTTCTCCTGGGAAACGGCTGATGCAGAGGGGTGATTTGGACGAGGCAGGAAAGAAAGGAGGGGGCAGCTGTTGGGGTGTGTTTACAATTAAAGGCAGGAATAGCAGGAAAGATTTAAATATGAGTGTGTGAGGGTAAGGCTGTATTCTCCCCTCCACCTCACTGAGGGTAAGGCAAACAAAATGTCAGCAGAATTAAAAACATACAAATTACAAAACAGAAGGAAAGTTAAATAAGCAAAGCTGCAGCCCCACAGAGGAAGACCGTCGATGGTGATACTGCACGAAAAACAAAACAAGGGTCCACCTTCTAACAAGAGAGGAGTCTTACTGAACAGCACCTAAGTGACAACAATGTCCAAGATCTCTGCAGCCGGTCATGTGACCGAGTTCACCTGTCCGTCACGCTGAGACATTGACCGGTTCGCAGGTGCTCGACATGGGTTTGAGGAGGCTCACAGAAAAAGTGAGCATGTTCAGGTACGCAGTTAAAGCTCTGACAGATGCAACTCATTTTTTGTGTCCAACTTTGCTTTACACAATCAAACCAAACAAAGCCTGGCAGTAAAATCTAAATCAAAACTAAAGATGGGAAAAAAAACAAGGCTCTATCAAAATAAAACATGATCTATACGGGGGGGCGGATGAGTCACTTAACATAAAGATCTCCAAGCCCACAGAGCCGTGTGCGAGAAGGTTGTGTAAACCGTTTGTAAAGCTGCCCAGCAGTTAGATCCAGGGTCAACATTTAAAAAAAGGGATTTGAGACCAGTGTTCAGGTCAAAATAAATACTTGAAGGGTTTCTCCTGCCATCTTTTGATTCCACATGTGGACATGAGATTAGCAGAAAGTTTAATCAGTCACAGGAATATAAATTACATTGACATATTTCCTGTCACTGTGAGTAGATGGGGTGATACCTCCTCTGATTGATGATGAGTCAACGAAAATTTAGCGGAACCTGGAAGTGGGTGTGTTTGTATTGCTATACTGTGGCACCTTTAATGCTGGGGGGGTTCTAGGTTTCGGGGAGGAGCTTGAGGCAGAATCATGGGAGGGTTTTTATTGCTTTGCAGGGCGGGTACCGCAGGCTAGCTGGCGGACTGGGTGCTTAGAACCAACTCCTCTCACTGAGCTCCAATGAGCGTATGTATCATCCTGGGGCCAATAAAGGATTTCCCTTTTTACAGGCGACACCTTAAAACAACAAAAACAGTAAAACAACCAAAAACACCCCCCAGGAAAAGGAGCTTGCATGGAAAATATGATTATGTTTGGCACGCTGGGGTCAAGGAAGCAAGAAGGAGAGCTGTGGCACGGGAGCAGGCATCTTTTTTTTTTTTTTTAAGTCCAAGGCTATGAGGACCCACTGTGGGGCACATCTGTGCTAAAATACACTTTAACACACAGACACTCGTCACGTCCGCCTGGTGGTCGGGGGGGAGCAGCGTCCTCCCTCTCTGGTCCGTCCCTGCAAACGTCTCGCTCCGAGTGCTGCGGCTCTGAGACGGACATTAAAATGAATGTATAAACACACCGGGGTCCAGCGTAGGGCCACTCTTGTGTTTCCTGCCCCAGTGAAGGTCTTTGAACAGTGTGTTATCCTCTGGGTGACCCCCCCACCACCTCCTCGGTCCACAGGTGGTTCAGGTAATGATGCTCGCTGTGCGCCAGGGAGGGGGGGTACCACTCCTTTTAAAATAGAACCTCTATTCTTCCGTATACGCTATTTAAATATACACACTCCTCAGCACAGCCAAGTCTACAATCATTAGCTTCATAATAAGAATATGAATAAACAGTGAGAATAATAATATCTATATAGATATATCGAGTTTTTGTCAGCAGCCATCACTAGAACATTCAGGGTGGTAATTGCATATGTACAACAAAAAACGTCATTTACATCCTTGAGCTCGAGGCTCAGGGTAGGAAGTCATATGGGGGGGTTGTTTTGGGTTGTGGGGGGGTGGTGGTGAATGCTGGTGTGTTATCTGAGCCTCTTCTCTGCTGAATAGATGGACATGTAGTAGTCGTTGCTGCCGACCGCCAAGTGGGGCTGAGTGGAGAGAGGGAAGATTATTACAGGAGGATAATGTGTGTGCGTTCACAAAAACTGAGCAGAGGGTAAAGTGTGTACTGAAGAAAACAACATATGTCGAGTGGATCAACTTAATAATTGGTGGCAGTGACTCTGGCCCAAGGGAGTTCACTTGGGAACCAGAGGGTCGCTGGTTCATCTCCCAGGAACGAACCAAGTACGAGTGTGGACTCACACTTTAAAAGGTACCAGTGTCCCTCCTGGGCACTTCCGAGGTGCCTTTGAGAAAGGCATCGGACCCCCACACTGCTCCCTACATATATACAGTATAGATGCTGTGTGTGCGTGGTACTTTGCACATGTGTGACGATTTAATATAGACTCGACCTGAATCCTCCACTTCCAATTTTTTTCTCTCATTTCCATAAAAGAATAAAAGAATGAAAAAAATAAGTCAAGTTATAAATGTCATAGATTAGGAAATGGTAGTTGTGATTTAGTTTAAAAAAAAATAAAAAATATCCATAATTACTTTGTATCTACAGTATCTACATACAGGGCCTGTTTGCAGTGAGAGCACTCTTGTGTTTGAACTCTTGACTCAGTAGTTTTCTAGAAATATTGGTTATTTGTGAAATAAACAGATCAAATCAATAAACCATTAACAAAAATAATTCTACATTTTTCATATATTTTTAGTTCCCGTGACATTTGGCCTTTACGCCCTAAAAATTATTACAACAACAACAAAGGAAAGTGGTCTTTCCCCTTGAGCTACTCTATACTATACATTAAGACTTTCCAATACATAATACACATTTGCAAAATATAATTCATTATTATACATTACTACCCAAACTTTGAAATGTTTGAAGCTCCCTGCCATGCGGTGTTATTTACCCAGTGAGGATGGAAGGCTAGACAGCTGATGGCCCCGATCCTCTGCCCCATGAAACCGTCATAGTATTTAATGTTGCTGATCACGTCTCCGTTAGCGTTGTACACGGCTATGAACTGGTTCATCGACCCGCTGGAGAGAAGGGGAGACACAACATCACTTCAAACATCGGCTGTGTGTAACACTGGACGTCAAGTAAAGTAAACACATAGTTAACGATATTGAACTTAGTGAACCTGCATGTACACCAACACACTCACCAGGCGAACAGGTTGGCCTGGGGATGGATGTCCAGCGCCGTTAACCCCTTCACTGTCTGCAGTACGTTGACCGAGTCCGGTGACCGCGGCTCGAAGAACCGGACGTCTCCGTTAACACTGGGGGGGGGGGGGGGGGTTGTTTACAGTACAGGCAACAAGAGTTCAACTGGAACGTCTGCATGAAATGTTACATGAGGAAATAACGGGCATACCTGACACTGATAATATGTCCGTCTGTCTCCTTCTGCAGATGAGCTTTGACCACCCAGGCTCCGTGCTCCCTGTAGGTCATCACGCGGCTGTACACACACACACACACACACACACACACACACACACACACACACACACACACACACACACACACACACACACACACACACACACACACACACACACACACACACACACACACACACACACACACACACACACACACACACACACACACCACACACACACACACACACACCCACACACACACACACACAGTTCAACACTGTTTCTGCATAGTCAGGAAATAACACCAGGAACAGTGCAGTGTTAGAATCTGCTTTCCTGCATGAAAATAAACCCAACTTTGCACGGTCCAGTTGAATGCCAAACTTCTTCGACTGTCCTGTGGTAATAGTCCTGATAATAGTGAAACACGCACCAACTAAAGTGGTAGAGTTGTATTTGTTGCTGTGATAAGCAGGAGAGGCAATGATAACAAAATAAAGGGTCTGGTTCAAATCTTAAAATAATTACTGTACTGTAGGAATACTGTTAAAATGTGTTCTAATTACATGTATTTATTTATTTTAACTTTGGTTCTTCTTTGTGTGTGGGTGACTATGAATTGGTTGGCTCTTCTTCTTAGTTTTTCTGCTGTCACAGACACATTGTTAGTTCTGAATTTGATTTACCGATTCTGCCATATCTGCAAACTCAATATAAAGATTTGAAAGAAAAACGTTTTTAAAAAGTTTAATTTTTGAATAATTTAAACAGTGTTTGACCCTGTTATGTTAAACTCTTCCTCTCATGTTCATGTGGATTTGGGATTATATTCTTATGTAAAACAACTAAAGATAATCCAAAACAGCAGTCTAAAGGCCTTTTCCTTCTGCTGGACATGCATTAAGAGTGAAAGCCCACTAGGTGGCACCATGGGATCGTACATGGAGAAAGCAAGAGTCTCCTGCAGGGAACAAATCCTGCAAATATCTTTTTAGAATTCAGCCTTACCTGAATACCCACAATGCACTCTATCACAGTCGGTCAAATACATCCTGCCTACAGGTGGGAAAGGAAGTGCATTTGATCTCACTAACATTGAAGGAACACGAACATTCACAACAATTTCCTAATTTTAGATTAAAGTAAGGACTTGTAAACGCCTTCATATATGCAACATTCCATCCTGAATGTTCGAACTTTCCCTGAATGATCCGTCCTCTGGACCGATCAACACAGCTGCTGGAAGATGCAACTTCACGCCTGAGGAGAGGTTACTTAAAGATTGATAGGCCTCTTCATTGTTTAACTGCTTTGTTTTCCCCCTACGGGACTGAGATTAAAATAATGTTTAACCACCTGGGGGGATAGGGGGCCACAAGGGTCCATTAAAGAGGGGGCTCGGCCCAAAGGGAGATTTACAGCACACTATATATAATAAGTATGGATTAGAGAAGTGAATAATGTAGCACTGTGTGGGAGTTTATGCCCACAGAAACTGCTGTGTGTGTGTTCTTAAAAGTATTTAAATAATGCAAGGAGATATTAAACTGAATATAACTAAATGATGAGAGCACATTGAGCTCGTATTAAAACAGAAAGAGGTTTTTTTAAATGATTATTTTATAACACTACACTCATTTATTTATGCTTTAAATCTTACAGCTTTTTGTTTTTTAAACGTGAATGAAAAACAAAGGAAAAAAAATATTTAGAAATAAAATGTAAAAAACCTTAAAACAAACATATAGTAATCAATAAATAGTTATAAAAAAACAGCCAAAAGTGATTATTAAACAAATAAGTTTCAAACTAAATAACTATTCATATGCATATTTATAATAATAATAATGGTTATGATTACAAAATAAATAATAATAACAATAATGGGTTTGATAATAATAATAACGAAAACATTTAGATTTTGACAAAGTTGATTGTAAAGGGGGCCTAGAATTTGTCCTCATAATTTCATTTTAGTACTAGTATTCCACAGTAAATCAGAATGAGAGGGAGTGTTACCAGTCGTTGGGACCCATCCTGCGGTCGAACAGGCGCACCGACCCGTCCCCCAGCCCGGCCACCACTAGGGAGCGCTGCGAGTCGCAGGACAGGCTGGTCACACAGCTGTCCGCCCCTGTGGGGATGTCCTGGTGGATACACACAAACACCCCCATCACATTCAAGATTCAAACGCTGCATTTTCCTATGCATAAAATGTACGGAGTAGTTATGAAAGGTCCCAGACTCCTCCAACATGCAACATAAATAAAAAGGAACAATAAAAAAGGTCCAAGAAGAAGAAGAAACAACAAACAGGAATAAAAAGGCGCAATAAAATGTTGTTGCTAATATGCATGTACATGCAGACTATATCAATGTACAAATAAGATACAATTAAATTAAATACTGTACAGTAGAATAAAAAACTGCTTATTCTTATATAAATATGTGAGCTGTAACAGATGTCTGCCATTAAAGGCTTGTACAGTAGAACAAAGGCAGCGCTGTCAATAATACAACGCTCGTTCCCCACTGAGGCTGGAGCCACACGAGAACGGTAACGCAAACAAACCAAAATCGTTATAAAAAAGTCTTCCGTCCACACGCAACAGGCACCAGAAACGTGTCCTTCCACACGAGACCGCTCGACCCGCTGGAGATGCTGTAGTACATATGCCGGGCATGTAGGTGGTGCTGTACTTCCGCCACAAAATACACCAAAAGCAGCGAAAAAGACTTCCGAGCATGGTTTCCATGGTTGCCCTTCTGTTTATTCTCCACGGTGGATTTAGCAGCAGAGGTGGGGAGAGGCAGGGCTCTTTTTCTCCGTCAGCAGCAGCTGATCTCTGATCCCTCTCTCCTGTCCGATTAGACTTCACTAGCGTTTATGTCCATATCGATCAGATCTAGCTAGTTCTAGCTAATGATATGACTGCCTGAGTGTCAAAGGACACCTAAACAATAAGCGACATTTTGACCGGAGAATTTGAGATTTCGGCAAATGGAAACTCTGCCGTGCGGGGGGGGGGGGTCTGCTGGAGGCACCTGCTGGGTGCACTGTCCTGCGAGATACCGGGACCTGGCTCGAAACACTCGGAAAACTGTTGTTGTTGGCGAAAGACATCAGCAATGACGCGGGTGACACGGGGGGGAGCAGGAGAGGTGGGGAGAGGCGGGGCTATTGCGTCATCGTTATCAGGAAATGATCGTATAGGGCGTACACACACAGAGCCGCTTGGCCCCCCAGAGCGTTTCGTCCGCAGATCTACCCACCTTGGGACCCGTTATCGTTATCTGCGTTTCCCTGTCGGCCTCGTGTGGCTGAACCGTCTATATGATAGAGAACTGTAGCGGATACGACCGTTACCGTTCTCGTGTTGCTCCAGCCTGAAGCTTCTGTGAAGTCGTCCATCATGTGATCTGCAGAGCGCTGGCATCTGCAGCCACAGGCTCTACCTGCACACCGTCCATCCATCAACACTGAGATTAGCACACGATCATTACGTGTGTATAAACAAAGAACAAACACACTAATGGTGCTGACTCTTCTACAGACTTCCATTAGTTTACCGAGACACAACAGCATGAGTATACTGTAAGCTGTGCACATTAGTACACATGTGAATACAGGGCTCCTACACTGTTTCAAATTTGAAATTCCAGACTTTTTAGTAGATATTTACTATATTTAAGTGGAAATAACTAGATATGAACTAGATATACTTAACATTTTTATTTTAATAAATAGATTCACAAGCCTGCCTCTCCAGCACAAAATATCTGGGCCCGTAGAGTGTGCACACTTTTGTTTTGTTCAAGACCCGCCCCCAATCCCGGCTCAGTTGAAAGAAAGGAGAGGGAGCTTTGTAACCCTAATGATCATAATAAAGGCTACAATTGTGTTTGTACTGGGAAGTTATTTAACTAAAGATACATTTCTGCTGATTTACAGAATAGATCAGTCAAAACAAAGGTCTTCAGCAACAGCCCCTCAGAGCCAAGTTTATTACTTTCACGAGTTGCTAAATGGACATGCGTCCAGCTGTATTGTCTGTGACAGACACACTCTCAGTACCTGGACCTTCATCTCCCTGTCCGTGTCCCAGATCCGGACCACTCGCACGTCTCCGGAGGTCATCAGGAGTCCCGTGTCCTGCTCCCAGTCCACCACCATGCCCGCACCTACAGAGTGGGACCAGAGCAGTTAGAATGACACACACACACACACACACACACACACACACACACACACACACACACACACACACACACACACACACACACACACACACACACACACACACACACACACACACACACACACACACACACACACACACACACACACACACACACACACACACACACACACACACACACACACACACACACACACACACACACACACACACACACACACACACACACACACAACATTAAACAGTTGACCTTTAAAAAAACTAATCACAATTAATGCTGTGTCAACAAGGTGCCAAGTATCCGAGTATAAATAACATATTAAATAAGTGAATATAATCTGTACACTATGTGAACTGCAGTTTTAATTTACGGGTTTTGAGTTAATTTGATTTATAAGTGAACCCTCACACACGTAAACCAGAGCATGTGTTGTCCCCCTGAAACACAACACACAGTCTGTGGAGGTCTCAGAGGGCTCCGGCTGCCACATGTAGCAAGTCAAATGACGGATTAGAGAAACAGCTTTCAGCACCAGCGTGTGACTGATATCAACCACAGAGGCTTGAGCAGAAACACCAATAGTTTTCTGTAGACAGCAGGTGCATGAGCAATAATAAATAACTGTTTTCAATGTATAAAAGTTATATGTGACTCATTGTCACCGAGTTTGTGTTTCTGATAAAAGTTCCACATGTTTAGAAATGTCATGCAGTTGGAAGCATGGTATAGCATCCTTCACGTAACGGGAGATGCAGACGATGACCCTAGATCAGAGCCTGTTAGCAGATTCTGGCTTAGATGACTCAAACGGCACTTAAGTGAGAAAGTGAGGAGGCAAGAAGCTGAAGACAGCAGGACCCTCATGTGATGGCATGTGATGACAGCGGGACCACCCTCTCTCTCTGCTGGCTGAGAGGCTGCAGCCTGGAGGTCCGCTCGCTCCCAGTGAAGGGCTTAATGCTCTGAAAGCTTGCATCATTTTTATGATTCATCACATCTTGCCCTCTGGAGGGAACACAGGGATTTTAGCCTTCGCAGACCATTTAAATGCACAACAACCTATATTACACCACCCATAAAAAGCATATTAGGGCCCCTTTAAAGCTGGTTCCAAAAGCAAGTTTATCTTTTAAAAATATTATGAAAACATGCACAACTTTACAGCAGAAGATATGTTTACAGCCTTCTGCAAAACACGGTTTTGATCTCTATAGCCAAATTCACAATTTCTGACCAGTGTATAGGGGGGGGGGGGGGGGGGGGGTGGGGAACTCACCTGTTAAATTGTATTAATGCTTAACCCTAAACTAAATTAATAGTGCAGACCCTTTGAGTGACTGGTGCATGAAGCCTTTGTGGCTTTTTCAAAAAACAAAATGGAGACAGTCACATGGATACCTCAAGGCTTTAGATCTAAAGTCTAAAACAAAATGGTTGACGTTACTGTGGCTAAGTCAACGCCTCCACCACTTTTCGCTTGTTGCTAAGGTTCAGTTGAGCTATGTCTAGCTGAGTTCGCAAAATTCTGCAATAAGGCAACCTTCAACATTTTTAAAGCCATGGTAACAAGAAAATAAATAATCAATACATGTTATGCACTAATTAGCTTGCTACAGAGCCGGAAGCTGCAGTTCATGTTTGGAAGAATAGTGAATGCTTTGTCAGAGGTAACCAAGTGGATCTTGACTTTAAATTATTTGTCCGAAAAAAACTTCTGTTGGATCCTAGTTGCTACACATTTGTAAAAATGTATCTCAGAACCACATTTCCTAAAAGCCTTGAAACAGAAAGCGAACATGCTATTTTGGAAACCGAAGTGAATCTGGTGAAGGACAATGGGAGAATAGAGGCTTGTAGGTCTTTCTCTCACAAGGATGCTTTTATTATCACAGACGCTACAGAAACAGCATCCTTTCCTCTCCTCTTGAATCTTTGACACCATGCTTCATTTCCTCCTCCACTTTCTCTCTGGGAGCCCAAACAAGAGGCCAGGTCACAATTGTTCCCTTCTTTTCTTGGTGGTTGGTTTGTCCATTCTGGGCTACTGTAGAAACATGGCTGTCCATAATGCCTGACCCTAACATAACCCTAATTCTAACCTGTGTAGGAATGAAGAGCTCGATTTAGTCAAAAGACATACAACAATTCTTAGTTACAGGTGGTTATACACTAATAAAGAACACAGTTATTGTATATTATATTCAATTTCTGTCAAAAAACATATCAATCTTACACTCTGAACCTTCAAGACAGGTCTCAATTTAAAGGATAATGCAGAACTTGCATCGTGATATCTTTCCAGTCCTCTTTTTCTCCTTTCATCCACTTCCTCTCAACCCAAACTCCCTTTATCCTAAATCTTTCTCTCAGTCCTTTTTCCTTCTCCCCTCTAGGCGAACAACGACTCCCTGACTCCAATCGAAACAGTTTTCTCAGAGTTTAGGGGTCAGAACTCAAGCATCTGAAACCTTAAACCCAACCTTTCAGTTTTTATTGCACGCGGTCAACCCTCAGCTGCTCAGAACGGGATACAATTCTGCCTTAGAGGGAACCTTTGTGGGTCTTAGTTACCCACACAGAAATCAATACGGACATGGAGAATAGATATGTGAGAAGGACGGACGGGAGCAAAGGAGTGTGGGCAATGTTCCCTCAGCTGTAAATCTCCATACAGAGGTGGAGGTAAAGATAGCTTCGATGTTCATTCTCTCTTTAAGCCTCCTCTCTTTCCCTCCCTGCTTCAGATCAAATGTTCTCCCCCAATAACATTATCAAAAACAATAATGAAATAGTTTGCAGAGTGTTTTTTCCCCTTGTTGAATCTTTAACAGCAACATCTTCTTACCAGCAGTACATCATCCTGTGCCAGTGTGCCGAGACACTCTAACCTCATTAGTGATATACTTATCTATTTCTTTGCATACATATCTTTGTTCCACTCCCCTGTTTTAATCTCTGGAGAAGGCATCGTGTTCTGCATTGTCTTTCTGCGCTATTATATCTGGTGATGGAGTAGCTCTCCTACACACTGCAGCTCATTAAACCAGTGTTGAGGACTTCTTGGTTCTCTCTTCCTTCATCGTGATGCTTTGAAGAGTTCTTCCAGGGCTAGGGTTAGAAACTGCTGCAGGATTACAGGGACCTGCCCCAGCCTGTGCCTCTCAGAGAAAGTGACGGAGCACTCTGACTGGCAGGGAGACTTCTCGGCTTTAGAATGGGTCTAACCTTTACAAACTGGTCCACAGGACCAAAGTTTCTTTGGCAAAAGGACCTACCTGTAAGAGAATGCAAGGTGGGAGAAATCAATGAGGATGATCCTGAACTTCGCAAGGAAGACGGGTCATTATTGGATCGCTTACAGAAATGCTCTGATTGGTCAAGAGCAGTTGCAAGACTGAAACGACATGCCAAAGAACACCAAGGTGTGAAACAAAGAACCAATGAATATACAACCATTCAAAGGCGAAAGACCAAAGTTACCTGACAACAAGACGTGCGCAGTACACCGCCTAAATTGTCTTGAAAGAAGACTAAAGAAGTCTTTCCAGGGTCAGATAGTAGGGTCAGAAAACTTAAATGACTGGTTAGCCAAACCACATTAGACAAAAAGGGTAAACCCACAATTAGGACTGTGTTCCTTGAAAGATCTGTACACAAGGTTGTTACTCTGCTTGAGGCAGAATAAGGTGTTTAATGTGTTGCCTGAGATTCCATGTTAAGTTGTTATCTACAGGTAATGTCTATTTCAAAGGGTAAAGCGTGTACTTTGTACAAACAATCTTTTGTGTGAAATCTCACGAGTAATGTGTGATTTGGTGGGAGTGTAAGTGCAGCCTTTACATGTTCATAATTTAACTGTAATGTGTATTTTCTATGTGTACTAATTATTATTGTTGTAATGTTTCATGCGTGCAATATTTTGTCTTTTATTTTGAAGTCCAAGCTCACGTCTCGTTATGCTGTTCTCGCGTGAGTTAAAGAGCGAGAACATGAGAAGCACCCTCAGAGTAAGATGCACGGATACTTACAGCTCCGATAGTTTTGTATTCTTATTTCTTATACATATAAGTTGTGAAGAGAACTGAAGAATACTTCCCTCTGTTTACAGAGCATGCAGCCCAACGAGGTATGTTGTTGTGCTTGTATCACTTTTATGTTTATTACCTTGCTAGTTATCTCACATGCTGTGCATGTTATTGTGTGTCTAACACGAAACTATGTTTGTCATTTATACTGTTTGTTTGTGTCGTTTTCACGGTGGATTCGGAGGAATAAACCCGTTATGAGAAAGCCACTTGTGTCTGCCTGTGCTTCAAGGGAATTACAGTGAAAACTCTGAGGTTCTGGGAGGTGATATACCCTACTTTATGAAATGAAGCTCAACCTACATGACATTGGCCCTCAAGCTGATTATTTTGGACAGGAGACGATCTTACATCATTTTACATAGGAGATTCCAAGAACTTGAAACTGTTACTGAATATATAGCAGGCCACTTTACAGACCGGAGAAGTTCCAATTGTGAGAATATAGAACATTACCGTCTAATGCCTCATTTACAAAGCAATGCTCGTCTTGACTCAGTTTTTGGAACAAGTTCATTTGTCTATTTCGATTTTTAATGCAGATAGAAACTGCCAGGTGTAGGCGGCATTTTCAGCTGATCGCTAGAGCAAAACTGCTTTAACTTAAAAAGCTTGCTTGAAACCTTAACTGAGGTGAAACCAAAACTGTATCAGGTATAATCTAATTGTTACTAAAAGGGAACCAGAGTCAAGAGCAGGTCAAGTTGAGTAGAGCTATGCTGTACTGAAGTGGAAATGCAGAGTCAAATTCAAAAGCAGAACAACTTCTGTATGTCCCTTACGTAAAGGTTTTCTTTGAACTTATGGCGCATTTCCATTGCAGGGCCTCGCTTGGCTTAGTACAGTATAGTTAGGCCCTGTTGCTGGGGCAGTAACGATAGTAACGCAGTGTAGGCGGGCCGTGACGTCATCTTCAATGCGAACCACAGAAAAACAACATCAGCCGTTAGCTCTTAGCACTCAGAGCTCACAGCTCCTCATATCTGTTCAGAAACTAGACAAAAGTTAAACAAGTACAAACCACAGACTGCCTGTGTCATGGCGAATACAGTCACTGCTTTATTTATGTCTGTATAGGCCGTTGTTGTGAGTGTGGACGGTCGGAGCATATACTGCGTTAGCTTAGCCGATCTCCATTCAGAAAACACGCATTTTAAAAGGGTTTTTCGCCTGCCGTCTGTCTGCAGACTTGTCAAAGCATTAATTCATGGTTTTTACTAACCGGTATCAGTATGTTGTTACTTCTGCATCATTTTGAAACGTGTGTTACAATTAAATCACGGTCAAATATGTTCATCTTGTTGTAGTTGTAGCCCCCTTGCCAGCGATTCTCTCTCTAGTTTAGCATACTCAGCCCGACTCAGCCTGGTTGTTGGCCCGCTAAGAACCTCGATTTTATGGGGCCAGACAAACTGTGAAATAGTACCCGCTAGCCGGTACTACGCTAAGTGGAAACGCAACCAAAAACGGGCCGGGCCGGCATGCTTAAACCGCGCTGTAGTGGAAATGCGCCATTAGACTCAGTAACACTAGGCAGAGGAAAACCATTTGGAACAAGTGAAAAGTTATTTCTAAGACCTACACAGCACCTGCTGGCAACTTTCAAACCCAAAACGATTAAACTGTCATGCTATTAAAGAATTTAGACCAAAACCGGATCCCAGACCAGGGCCATATTGTTATTGTTTGTATTTCCAAGTTGTACTGTAAATGTGAAAATAACGCAACCCGAAGTAACACAGTATCTGGTCCTGACCTGAGCCACTGACAAATGGTTTTGATTTCCTGCCTTCCTACTAAAAATGCGCTTCTCCAACAACATATAAGGGAAAACATGTTTCCGACACTTGGCCTAAACTATGAACGTCTTTGCTTTGAATCCCAGCAAAGGCTGCACAAGAAAATAGCCTTAAGGCTTTTTGTCACATTTTGACACTTTCATGTCAGGAGCCTCCATCCAACTTCACGTCCCCGTTTTTGGATTACGTTTGCAAAGCCCCGATGGTAACAAGGCACGAGGCAGGGCAGCCAAATGTAGAACAGGACACAGCGTCTGCCCCCCCCAAAGCCAAAGAGGAGAGGGCTGCCTTACTTTCACTTATGCAGCCAAAAGAAAAGGGACAAAGATAAATATGACACCAGGAAGAAAACAACTGTAATCTTCGACAACTTCATGGGTCGAGGAAGGGAATGGAGAGAAATTAAAGGAGTAAAAAAAAGTTGAAACATAATTAACAGTATGTGGATCAGGACTCTCAATCTAATCTGTAGAGATGTGAAGTCAGTGTGCTGTGCAGCAGCAGGAAAGCTCTTCCAGTCGCTGTCAGCCCCCGTCCCCTCATTTCCCCGGCTCCCTGGAGTTTTACTGGATAATCCCTTCGGAGACGGACTGGGTGGCTCTATGCTATTAAAATCACACAGAACTAGCACACTCCCAATTAAGCACGGACACCTTTGAGGCCAGCTTAAAACCTTTTAAAAAAAAATACATGACAGAAGCCATTTTGAGGCAAATGCTCTTGTTCTTTCAAAACGCATTGTATGGATTCAAGACAAATTTGCTCTGCAATTGACAGTTCTAAAATCCCTCCCCAAAACAGCGGTTGTCCTAACCGCTTAGCAAAAGTATCTAGGCAGGTTTGTCGTGGTTTTTTTCTCCACATGTTGAAGTGATGTGCTCGGGGCTACAGTCAGAGGAACAATACATTGAACTGTACAGTTTGTTAACTCCGTTATGAGGGAGCACAGAAATGCTCAAACGCAAACTCATTTCTGGGTGACTCATTACTGCACCATATCGTGGAAATGTATCTTTTAAGTGTCATTCAGTTCTGTTTAAACCTGATTTAGCTTTGGCTCACTACGGCTGCCACCCCAAGGCTTTTTCACACCTTTAATACACAGACTAACTTCTGTTCTCTAGCATTAGACAGACAGAAGGGAGCCACTGTGATCTTTGCCAGGCACATTTTCATACAGATGTGTATAGTCACAACTGTACCAATGTATATCTTACTTTACACGGTTATAGTCTGTGATGGTACATTTACATAAAAAAAGCTCAGTACAAAACCTGAGGACAACAGTTAGTCCTTGTTGTATCATAATTGTTAAGTTCATTATGAGAACATGAGAACACATTGTTAAAAAAATACTAAGAATGAAAATCAAAAACCCTGCCTGCACTTTAAACTTCATACCATGTGTTGTGCTATACATCAAAGGTATGCCGGCATAACAACAGTAACTAAGAGGAGCAGGTCTTCTCTTTGTTTTAGTTATAAGAACAGCTTGTTGCACAGGGCATGTTAGCACTTGTAGAAACACATCACGGCTGCCAGCGATGAAGCGATGAAGCGATGGAACAGATGAAAGGATGAAGGGTGGGGTGGTGGTCAGGGGGGGGATATAGGAAAACAAAGAAGAGGCACGCTGTGTACCGGATGTTTAGCCTTTGCTCAGGAGGTGAGGGAATAGAGAAGAGAACGCTGACACTCACCTCCTTGCTTACTCCTGTCAAGATAGATGGAGACCCTTCGTGCCAGACCTGCGAGCGGGGGACGGAGGAGGAGGGCAGAGAGGAAGGAGAGCGGGAAAGCAAAGCAAGCAAAACATTAGCAAAGAACCCCCCTGTGCATGCAGACCCACACCTCTGCATCACAAAGAGGGGCTGTGGAAGCTGCACAGGACCCCCAACCTCCACACCTGCAGGACACCGAATGTCACTTCCCTTCCCCACAGACAGAGGTGGTTAAAGTACTCAGATCCTGTACTTAAAGTGGCCCTATTCTGCTGATTTTCATGTTCATATGAGTATTTAGTGCCTCCACTACATGTCTCAATGCTTTGATGTTTAGCCTGTGCAGACCATTTACATGCACACAAACCCAACACACTACAGGAAAGGGAAAACCGCAGTACATAATAGGGCCTCTTTATGTAGTAAAAGTTCAACATTTTTACCATTGAAAAATTCAACGGGCTCATTCTGCACAATTGCTGTATTTCAATAACATAACGTATTAGAATCCAAAAGTACTTAAAGTATCAGAAGTGAAAGTACCCAGTATGCAGATGGCTCTTTCAAAGTATTGTATTAATAAAGAATATGTACAAGCATTCTAATATTGTAGTTTGTCAATTTGGAGCCGATTTTAGAGAAAATACACAATTGATAAGTAGTACTGCATCTTCCATCTTCTCCCGCTTATCCGTGGTCGGGTCGCGGGGGTAGCAGTTCCAGCAGAGAGCCCCAAACTTTCTTTTCCCTGGCGACATCAACCAGCTCTGACTGGGGGATCCCAAGGCGCTCCCAGGCCAGCGAAGAGATATAATCCCTCCACCTGGTCCTAGGTCTACCCCTTGGTCTCTTCCCAGCTGGACGTGCCTGGAACACCTCCCTAGGGAGGCGCCCAGGTGGCATCCTAACTAGGTGCCCGAACCACCTCAACTGGCTCCTTTCGACGCGAAGGAGGAGCGGCTCAACTCTGAGTCCCTCCCTGATGACCGAACTTCTCACCTTATCCCTAAGGGAGACACCAGCCACCCTGCGGAGAAAACCCATCTCGGCCGCTTGTATCCGCGTAGTACTGCATCTTGTGTATTTATATATAAAAATAAACTAGTTAATATGATTGTCAAATAAACGTAATGGAGTAAAAAGTTGAAAATTGTCTCTGAAATGTAGTGGAGTAGTAAAAAGTGATATTAAATGGAAATACTCAAGTAAAGTAAAATTATCCCAAAATAAGTAATGTACTTGAGTAAATGTACTTAGTTACTGTCCACCACTGCCCACAGGGGGCGCAGCAGGCCGGGTGAAGACAATCTGTGTGTTTGTGTGTTGGCATGAAAGTTTGGACGAGTTGGAATAAAGAAAAAATACCTAAATTAAAATAATTTAACTGGTTTGAAGGTGTGCTAATTAAATAAAGACGTTCATTCTATCACTGAAAACGACCAGCAATAGAAAGATTTGTTGTTGCGGCAGTCGGGAAAACTGCTCGCTGCCTTGTTCATCCTCCCTCAATATGAGGGGAAAAACACAAAACAATGTCAAAGAATGGGCAAAGAAACAAGCCAGACGAACACAGGCAGTACAGAGAGGGTCACTGATGAAGAACAGGAGGGAAACCTGTTGTTGGACCACAGGGACGAGGGAAGGGTGTGAAGGGGGGGAATGGTGTGTGTGTGTGTGTGTGTGTGTGTGTGTGTGTGTGTGTGTGTGTGTGTTCGCTGGCGTCTCCTCCAGAAACGCTCACACCAACCTACAGACTCGTATTTTGGCAGCATAAAGACAGAGTAATATTTCATCGGGTTTTACATTATTAATGCCACTGAGGCAATGCAAGGAATGGAAGAAATACAAAAAAACACAAGCTCATAATAACAAAAACAAGCTCATAATAACAAAAACAACATTTGAACCCCTGAATTTGAAGCTTGACTCTTCAGTGAAAGCTTCTCGGTGGAGCGGCTGTTTATTAAAATTGATGGCTCATCTGCAGGCGGACAGAGACTGTCACCAACGACACTTCCAGGATAACGAGCGCGCCATTAAATGTTACATTTCGCTGCGGGAGAGTTCTCCACAGGGGAGAGTCTCTCGGGGCCGATGGGTGGTGAAAGTCAGACAGACAGGCTGCTAGTTAAGGGTATCGTCTCTCCACAGATTGTGACTGTGTGGCTCTGCAGTGATGGAAACACAGTGTGAGGCACACACACCTGCTCAGATAGCCATTTAAACAGAGCCTGACTCAATGTTCCCAATTAGCTCTCTTTAACGGCCCGTCCACACTACAGCTTCGACAGCTTCAAAAACGGTTTCCAAAGCGTCTGCCCATTCACTTTGAATGGGGTGACGTCGCTTTTCGCCGAACTGCATTGTGGGAAGCAGAGCGGAGCTTTCCTGGCGTTTCAGGCTGCAAAAGTTGAGCAATGTTCAACTTTTGAAGCTTCTGAAGCTTTCGGTGGAAGCGTCAGCCAATCAAATAATATGCCAGTACAAGCTCTAGCCAATCAAACCGCTGCTTGTGTGTCAGGGGCGGGAGATTCATGTGATTGGTTGTTGGTCGAGCTTCAGACACGCCCAGCTCCAAGCTTTTTTTGAAGCTGTAGTGTGGGCGGGCCGTAAGGAGGTTATGTCCGTCAGTTAGGAGGATCATTTCTGATTTCTGAGAAACATTGTGGAAAGGGAGCTTTAGCCAAGCAAGAACAGATTATGTTTACATTTTGATAACATTTGCGGACATTACTATTTTATACTCTGTAAAATGTGTAACTATGTACATTTCCATTTAATCTTATCTAACAGTCACTTGTCATTGCTTTTTTTTTTCTTCTATTTATTTCTATACCTACAGTATGACGGAGTTGGCATATGTGATCCCGGCGAGGCTGACAACAAGTTGGATCCTGTTATTTTTGACTGATCAATGTTCATCCAGACAACTGACAAAAAAATAAAGAGCTGCCCACGTTGTGTCAAAAATAATCTACAACAGTGTGGAAGCAGAGTTCCATTTATGTCTCACGTTTCATTTCATTGCATCAGGTCTGATCAGTTTTTGTAAAATAACATACGAGACACTCTCTCCTGGATTTTACAATACGACTGTTTGCATCAGTTCAAACTTCTCTGGGCAATTTTCTGAATCTAAATGTTTTACTTTATAAAAATCTTTGGTAATTAAACTGTTCTATTGCTGTGAGGGAGGGATTTATTATGGGGTTGCTGATTACATGACATGACATTAATGTAATGTGTTTAAATTGTCTGTCATTTAAAAACAATAATTTGTGTTCTTTTTAACTTTATATTGTCATTCAAGTTTAAAAACTTCAACTAATGAAATTAACAAAGCTCAATTATTGTCATAACTGTTTTAGAGGGACCTTATTTCAAATCATTGCAAAAGTTGTTTTTCAACAGTTGAGTAATTTCTTGCATTTAAATAACTGTTTCGATGTGTTCCAGTCAGGCTTTCGTCCAAACCACAGCACTGAGACTGCTCTTGTAAAGGTCTTCAATGACATCCACTTAAACACAGACAGTGGCAGAACTTCAGTGTTAGTATTATTAGATCTCAGTGCTGCGTTTGACACTGTTGACCACAACATATTACTAGACCTACTAGTCAGAACTAAACATGGAGAAGCAGCGTTCAGTTATTATGCTCCAAATATCTGGAACAAACTCCCAGAAACCTGCAGGTCCGCTGCAACTCTGACTACTTTTAAATCCAGGCTGAAGACTTTTCTTTTTGTCGCTGCTTTTAATTGAACTATTCATATCTTAAACTGCACTAACTTTTATCCATGTATTCTTTCTTTTAATGTTTATTTTATTATCTTTGCTTTTCTTAATGTCTTTCATTTTTGTAAAGCACTTTGAATTGCCTTGTGTTGAAAGGTGCTGTATGAATAAACTTGAGTTGCCTTATTTCAGCTGTATGGTCATATTCATTTATATATGTTTTTCAGCCTGACACATTCATTTCATTTTTGCAGTGCGTGAGTGTGACTGGGAGGGGCGGGGCAGTACTGTGGGAGTATGGATTGGTGGAGGGGGGTTATGATAGACTAGAGAGTGGTCTTACTGGTGCCGGGCTGACCCCTGGTGGTAGGCAGCATGTCGGAGAGACCCTGCCACGCCGTCACCATCTCTGGGTTCTTCTGGTCTGCGAAGTTCTTCCAGACACGTAACGCTCCATCGTCTGGAGAAAGAAGGGGGGGGGGGGTAAAGAGTAAGAGCCAGGACAGAAATAGAGATGCAGTGAGAAACAGTCAGAAGAAGGTGCAGCACAACACTTGTTGGTACTCTTAATGGATTTTGAAGTGCATGTTGTGCAGAAAATGTTGATACAAACATGTAGGGCTCTTTTAGAACATGTGTTGGAAATTACACACACTGACAAAAAGATACAGAGCCAGCCTCAAAGTGTTACTAAAGAGGACGTATTCTCTTTTTCAGGTGTATATCAGTATGTAGTGTCTCTACAGTGACATGTCTCCATGCTTTCATGTTCAAAAAGCTCTTTATTTTTCTCAGCCTGCCTGTGCTGCAGCACCTCTTTTCACCCTCTGTCTGAAACCAGAGCCCAGTCTGCTCTGATTGGTTAGCTGGCCGGCTCTGTTGTGATTGGTCAACTGCTTAGTGAGTTTCCTCCCCTTAGCCTATCACCTACAATGTGTTGAAGCGCTAGCCATTAGAAGCGTAAGTGTAAACTCCCTCTGCATTAAACTTTCAGATTGTAGCCTTTGCATGCACAAAACACAAAACACTACAGACAAGGGAAAACCCCCAAAAGCATCATAGGGCCTCTTTCAGATATCCAGCAGCAGTAAATAACCCAATTAAAACTACCTTTCCTAGCTGTGAGTGACATATGATTGCAGCAATGATTATAATCTAGTTATTTAATAAATTATTTTGAAATTAGCCGTTAATTAAAGTACTTAAGTATATATATAATTTAAGTATATTGATGCCGATGCTTCTGTACTTTTACTTCAGTAAGATCTTGAAAGCAGTACTTGCTCTTCTTTTGGCTAGCGCTCCAACACATCGTACGTGATATGCTGAGGGCGAGACATCCTCAACACATCTCTCGGCCGTTGACTAATCACAACAGAGTCGGCCAGCTAACCAATAAGAGCAGACTGTCTGGTTTCAGACAGAGGGTGACAGAGGTGCTGCAGCACAGGCAGTATGAGAAAAATAAAGAGCTTTTTGAAAATTAAAGGATGGAGACATGTCCCAGTAGAGACACACAATACTGATATCAACCTGAAGATGAGCATATGTCCTCTTTAAGCTGAAACACAGCTACACTAAGACACAGAGACAAATATAAAACATGCACTCTTATGCAAGAGCTATTATAACCTATAAAAGTCTCTACTTGATTTACATTCCGTGTATTACTTTTTTAATGCTGTATACTTTTTATAACCAATGTCTTCCCAGATATCCTCCTCAGCTGACTGATGGAGAGAAGCCGAACAAGTGCACATTACATTTTGATGAGATGGAATCTAAATGTATTAACCCCCGAGCTTTATCAAGTTTGCAGGAGAGGGGCAATACATTACAGGGCTCACTCTCAGTTTAATGTAGCGCTGTTAAGACGAAACTAAATAAATGTGTGTTTCTGTTGGAATGTGGAGTTGTTCTCTACACTTCCTCTGGGTCATGGAGACAAAGCCGTGGAGGGTAACTGCTGTGTTGTGTTGATGAATGATAATGAATACACATGAGTGCTGTGTGTGTGTTTGTGGGGGTAAGAGTCAAGTGTTTAAGGCTTGTTGCTGCTTCGAATGAGTCTCGTTGCGATTTCCAAAGTTCTGGTGGGCGTGAACATTTGAGCTGCTCGCTCAAGAAAACTGTTTCTAATTGATCAGCCAAGGAGGATCTGTTCTCGGCTTGGTTTGTCTGAGATCAGGATAACAAGGTAATCATGAACATTTTTGAAAGGTTGTATCATGGGTAAAGGAAGAACCGTAATCATTTGGGAGTGGCTCACATAAGGAGATCAGGGTTTTGTGCAGCATTCAATAATAATAAATTGGTTCAAAATGTACCGAGTCAGGATCACATTTTTCTAAATACTGCAACGATTCTAGCACTGTTGCCATATCTCGCACGGTTTGCATACATCTTTGCATCCGCCCCCATAGTTAAAGAGTTCTTTCTTCGGCCCATGCTACACAAAGTTCCACCAAGTTTCATGAAAGTCGGGCCAGCAACATTTCCGTTATCGTGACAAACAGACAAAAAAAACCCTCCTTAGCCAAAGAAGTAAAGTAGGCTTGAATCTTCTTTGGGGCGTCCATGTTGTTTCCGTAGTATGAATTACAGCCAATGAACAGATTCAAATTAGAACAATGACTTCTCAACTCTGGAAATGGGACCATCTGAGGGGCATGCGAAGGAGATCTGAGTGTTACTCTGAGTGTGCCTCACCTGTTGCAGTGAGCAGTAAGGAACAGTCGTGTCCGTTCAGGTACTCCATGGCGGTGATGCGAGTGTAGCGAGGGTTTCCGTTGTAGAAGTAGTCCAGCCTCTCGCCCTTCTCCCAGTCCCAGAAACTGCAGTAACCAAACAGACAACATAGGATAAGACATGTTTAAACTGCTATGAATTTTAAATTGAAACTGACTCATTTGCATCTAAGGCCTGATTAAGGTTTTTATTCTCTGACCAGATGCTGTCCTTGTCGGCCACGGCGATGCAGGTGTTGAAGGGGTGGAACTTCACAACAGATGGTACTCCAGGGTTGCGGTTGATGAATATTTGATCATCCAGACGGGAAACACCTGTGTTGGGGGGGGACAAGACAGAATGGGAACATGTGTAAAAAGGAGGAGAATTTCTAGAAAGTATGAAATCACAGATTTGATTTTCACTGCTTCCCGCCTCCTGAAGCTTCTCCAGCGTCTAGCCTGTTTGTTCCTATTGAATATGTACATTTAAAACATATTTGGTTTCCTGTTACAGCTAACAATGTAATAGCTGCCAGAAATATAATAAATGTTGCTCTTCACATGATCCAAGTGAAAATAAACCCAATGATATAATGACCTGACCAATATTGTGATAAAATGTCCTGACATTTTACAACTGCTTGAACGAAAAATACTTGCCTGTACCTGCGGTAGAAATAGAAACTCCAACTTCTTACATAAGTAAAAGCAGAAATACTAAATTGTAAAACACAATGTTAGCAGTAAAAGTCCTGCATTCAAAATTGTAGATACCACAAATTAAAAATACTAACTGTGCAAAAATGATGATGGTGGTGCATTCATGTTTTTTATCAAAGCTGGTACATTTTTATTTTCTTTGTTGTATTCTGTTTTAGCTAATTAACTACATAAATAAAGCAACGAAAGCTGTTGGGTAGATTTAATGGGGTAAACAATTATTCAATAACCATCAGGAGTTCTGAAAAAAAATAAACCTGAAAAGATATTATATTATCAGTTTCTATTTTTTTTTACATTTTTGGTGGCTACCAAGCCTCAGTAACAGGCTGCAGCTGTTCAAGCCGTTTTCAGGCTTTTTATTTGAGATCTGGCCTCATTTATATACAAAGAACATGTTTCAATCACTGACAACTGTAATGTAAATGTGTAACATTAGAGCAAACATTGTTTTATTTGATATGATTTATCAACTATATAGTTTCTTCAAAATTAAAATTAGTAAATGTCTGAATTATCCATATCCTGCTCAGTGTTGTGTAAATTATTGAGTGTCTGAGTGTTTAGTGAGTAATTTCAGTGTGTGCTTGGATGAAATACATTTTCTTTTAAATCACATTCTTTTCATTTCAGCATGTTGTTTGGGTGTTTGCCAATTAAAGAATGTATTCTCTAATTAAGATGAGGCTGATAATGCCGGTGGGGAAAATTAGGATTTGTAGCTGCAAATAGGACGGGTCAGAAGCAAGGAAAAGCAGAAGAGAAATGCATATCTACTTTATGAAAGAGCTTTAAAACCAGAACATACTGGAATGAATGAACCAGTGTAGGAAAAATAAAAAATATAGTATTACAGCTATACAGTAGGACCGGAGGCAAGCAAGAAAAATAAACCAAACATACAGAAAATGAATCTGGTTGTGCCCCCCTTTGGTAGTTTGAACACAAAGGGAAAGTTCATAGCTTAACACTATGTTGTCATGGCAACAACACACAAGCCTGTCCTTGGCTACCTGAGCACTCTCGAGACCACCGTCATGAGATGAGAGAGAATCAGGAAACTCCATCATGAATTCTTCACGGATGGAAAAAACATGGAGTTGGAGGGAAAAAGATGCTGAGGCCTTTGTTTAAAAAATGAGCAAGACCCTAATCTTCATCATCTTCATCGATTAGCCTTTTGGTTGAGCTGTTTGAAGACACAGTCGATATCACTGCTGTAACATCTGAAACCACCCCAGGACTCCAGGACTGTATGCTACGTTTTGCGTCATAAGTGGAAAAAACACTGAAGTAAAATCAGGTTTACGAGACAGAATCTTTCTATTGCTCATCTTCTCTTCTTTCTACCCTCACTGACTCGTCTTGCCTCCTCTGTCCTCAGCCCCCCCCCCCCCCCCACCCCTCTAATCTCTATCTGGAGGGAACAGACTGAATGAGGGCAACCCTACTGCTTCTCTCTTTAAAAAAGAGGGGAATTTAACAAGCAGTCAGGAAGAGGGGGGAGACATCTGCGAGAGAGAGCCTCAGCTCTGACGCCAATCTCCTCGTGACTGTGTGAGTGTATGTATGTGTGTGTGTGGATGGGGCTGCCAATGACGTTGGGGTGTTAGCTATTCTCTTTGAGAAAGTCCTGAATTCACTTGAGGAGTTTGCTTGCACCCAAGGCTCTGTAAAGTGTGTGTGTGTGTGGGGGGGGCTATATCTGACTGTGTCGAAAGAACCGATAATTTAGTACCAAGTAGGTGCTGGCATTCTGAAACGTAAAAGTACACGTTTTACTGGAGGACTATCGGAGACTACCAGTGTTATGTCGAAACGATAACATTTGAAATAGGACATTTAACATTTCCATTGTGGTCATCGGTTCCTATAGACGAGAGCAAAGCTACGTCACTGCCTGGTGAGATAATGGCCCCGCCCACTTTCTGGTGAAGAAAAAATAATTGGTGCTAAGCGGATTGTGCAGAATGTTTTATCATGCCTTAAAGCTGCGGTGTCGTGTTTTGCATGTCAAACCTTTGGCAGCAATTACAGCCTCAAGTCTTCTTGAGTATGATGCTACAAGCTTGGCACACCTATCTTTGGGCAGTTTCTCCCATCATTCTTTGCAGATCGTCTCAAGTTCCATCAGCTTGGATGGGGAGCGTCGGTGCACAGCCATTTTCAGATCTCTCAAGAGATGTTCAATCGGGATCAAGTCTGGGCTCTGGCTGGGCCACTCAAGGACATTCACAGACTTGTCTCAAAGCCACTCCTTTGTTATCGTGGCGGTGTGCTTAGGGTCGTTGTCCTGTTTAAAGGTGAACCTTTGCCCCAGTCTGAGGTCCAGAGCTCTCTGGAGCAGGTTTTCATCAAGGATCTCTCTGTACATTGCTGCATTGATCTTTCCCTTGATCCTGACTAGTCTCCAAGTTCCTGCCGCTGAAAAACATCCCCACAGCATGAAGTTGCCACCACCATGCTTGACTGTAGGGATGGTATTGGCCAGGTGATGAGCGGTGCCTGGGTTCCTCCAGACATGATGCTTGGCATTCAGGCCAAAGAGATCCTTTTTGGTTTCATCAAACCAGACAATTTGGTTTCTCATGATCTGAGATTCCTCTAGTGCCCCTTTCACACCAACGCGGTTCCTGTTCTAGCTCCGTGCTAGAGCTTTTCTGGTTCGGAACCGGTTTTTATTTTCAGCCCCTGTTTTGTTCACACCGCCCAGAGCCCGATTTTCGCTGATTTTCTCCCCAACGGCGTTACGGCGCTCACAACAACAACAAGGGGGACTGCGTCGGGCCGATGATCGTGTTGCTTTTAATCATACAAAGCCAGATTAAATTAAATAACGACTTCTCCAACCTTATACTTTTCTCCAGAGTGCCGTGGTTAATTGTTTATCAATGTGTTTCAGCAGCATTTACCGACTGCTGCAGTGCTGCTCTTCCACCGGAGTGTATTCTCCCGTTAGCTCAATACAAAGTATTCACTGTCTGACTGTCACACAAGCAGCTGATACATATCCCCAATTCTCCTTAGCCTAAGTGAATGTGTTTCAGTCTGAATTGACGCTGTTTGGCATCACAACGCTGTTATGAAAGTTTCTCTGGTATAAAATGGGTGAGGTTAGCATAGCAACCAAAGCTAAACTGACTATCTTGACTACTTGTTGCTATCCTATTGTGGCATAAGCCGTTTTCTACAGGCACATTTTAGCGGCGTATTTTTCATTATGATTCTACTTGTGATAGTCGGACATTCTCCTTCAGCGCCTCGAACACACCATCGGACTCTCTGACTCCGCCCTGAGCTGGTTCTAGTCCTACCTGTCTGGAAGAACAGAGTACGTCTCCTTGGGAGGTGCGAGGTCCCAGACACACCCTGTCACCTATGGTGTCCCTCAAGGGTCGGTCCTTGGGCCCACTCTGTTCACCCTGTACACTCTTCCCCTTGGCCGTGTCATCAGCAAGCATGGAATATCATTCCATTGCTAAGCTGATGACACGCAGCTATATGTAAAGACAGACTCTATCCCACATGCTTCCTCACTGTCAGTGTCACCATCACCGTCACCGTTCCCATCAACATCCCTTAACACCTGCATTGAGGAGATAAAGGCCTGGATGCGAGAAAACTTCATGTAACTAAATAGCTCCAAAACAGAGGCTATTTTAGCACACCAAACCAGGTCCAGTCATCCCCCATAACCCACATGACCTTTTCTGTACAAAACATACCCCTCTCCACAGCAGTTACCAACCTGGGTGTAAGATTTGACAGACATCTAACCTTTGACACCCACATCAAACACCTGTGCAAAACCTCCTTCTACCACCTCAGGAACATTGCAAAACTCCGTCCCACACTCTCCCTGTCAGATGCTGAACAACTGGTCCATGCCTTCGTCTCCTCAAGGCTCGATAACTGCAACGCTCTCCTCATCGGGACTCCTAGCGGGAGCCTTCAGAAGCTCCAATATGTACAGAACAGTGCCGCTATGATCCTGATGAGGGTGAGAAAATACAACCCGTTCTTCATTCCCTCCACTGGCTTCCTGTCTCATTCAGGATCGAATACAAGATCGCACTACTGACCCATCAATGCATCCACGGGAACGCTCCTCCATACCTGAAGGAACTTCTCACATCTCAAACCTCCACACGCAACCTCCTCTCCACAACCAACCATCGGCTTCGCCCCCCGAGGACCAAACTCCGCACAATGGGGGATCGGGCTTTCTGTGCAGCTGCTCCTCGTCTGTGGAATTCCCTCCCAGACCACCTGAGGACTCCCAGACCACTGATGCCTTCAAGAAAGGCTTAAAAACCTTTCTTTTTAAAAAGGCTTTTGATTAAACTTTTTAAAAAAAATAAAAAATGTATGCCTCCTGTAGCACCTTGGGATTGCTGTGAGCAATGAAAGGTGCTTTATAAATCGAATTTATTATTATTATTATGACAACCTGTGCAGCCCATGTATTGATTCCATCCGATAGCTGCTATAACACAAAACAACACGTCTGCCTGCTCTCCACTATGATCAATGACAGTGAACAGATGGTCAAAGTAAGGCACAAATAAACAGAATCACACAAAGCCTGGTTAATGTTGCCTGACTTTATAAAGTGTGTTTTTTTTATAAGTGTGTTGCTCAGCACTACCGCTTGTTACAACTTTTATTTGCCGTACTCGCCATAAACTGTTAGCTCAGGTTAATCTCACCCCCCTCCGACGTAAGCGGTTCTTGCTTCTAGACCGACCATTTTTTGGTGCTTGAAAAGCACCGTTTTTCCGAGCTTAGAGGCGGGTCCCGCTGCGGTGTGAACAGGAAAAAACGGTGCTTTTCAGGCTCTAGCTCCGAACCGGCCCAGGAACCGCATTGGTGTGAAAGGGGCATAGGTGCTCCATGCGGGTTTTTATGTGCCTTTTGCTGAAGAGTGGCTTCCTTCTGGCCACTCTACCATAAAGGCCTGATTGGTGGAGTGCTGCACACATGGTTGTCCTTCTGGAAGGTTCTCCCATCTCCACAGAGGAACACTGGAGCTCTTTCAGAGTGACCATCAGGTTCTTGGTCACCTCTCTGACTAAGGCCCTTCTCCCCCATTGCTCAGTTTGGTTTGGGCAGCCAGCTCTAGGAAGAGCCCTGGTGGTTTCAAACATCTTCCATTTTCAAATGATGAAGACCACTGTGCTCGTTGGGAGCTTCAATGCTGCAGACATGTCTCTGTACCCTTCCCCAGATCTGTGCCTTGATACATACCTGTCTCTGAGGTCTACAGACAATTCCTTGGACCTCATGACTTGGTTTGTGCTCTGATGTGCACTATCAACAGTGGGACCTCATATAGACAGGTGTGTTCCTTTCTAAGTCCAATCTATTTAATTTACCACAAGGTGAACTCCAGTCAAGTTATAGAAACATCTCAAGGATGATCAGTGGAAACGAGATGCACCTGAGTTCAATTTGCAGTGCCAAAGCAAAGGGTGTGAATACTTATGTACATGTGATATTTCATTTAATTATTTTTAACAAGTTTTCAAAAAATTACGTCATTATGGGGTATAGTGTGTGGAATGTTGAGAAAAAAAATGAATCTAATCAATTTTGAAATAAGGCTGTAACATGACAAAATGTGAGAAAAAAAAAAGTTAAGAGGTATGAATAATTTCCAGATGCACTGTACATTATGATGATAATAAGGTCAACTTTGATCATAAATCTCACTTTAAGTGTCAGCCGTTCCCAGCTAGTCATCCACCGGCAGACTGACTGGACATAGATCCTCTATTGCAGGCCTATTCAACTATTTATTTACCGCAAGTAAAATGACAGAAAATGTTTTCAACAAAAAGGGGGCGGGGCCACAACGTGTTTGTGTTTTTACCGTTTTTTTTGGAAAAAAGAACTTTGGTTTTCACTGGTATTCGTAACGACCACTACATCTCTGGTTTCACTGGTTCTGACTATGGGTAGATTGCACTCAATCTCTGGCCTCACTGCATACTTACTTTCATGTCAGAAACAAAGGGGCACCCTGGTCGTGTCTCAGTCTGGAGTTCACCCTGATTTCCCCTCTAAATACATTTAATTCAACATGATTCTGGCAAGATTTCAGCGCTTATGTTCTGTGATCTTTGCACTTTATTTGACACACTGCAGGTAGAGCTTCTATCAGAAACGACTGTAGTACAAAAGGTAAGAATCCTGTCCTCTAAGCCAGGGACTTCTGTCTGTCCAAATATAATAAAGTACATAAGTTGTTGCATTTGGAGGCCAAGGACAGGCCAGTTTATTTATAAAGCACATTTCAACATGAGGCAATTCTTCCATCAAGGTTAAATTCTTTTTTATTGGAGTAACAGAATATATGGGACATTAATGAGAACTGTTTGCAGTTCTAATAAGTAATTACAGTTGCTACAAACCAAACTGAATAAATAAACATGAGGTCCCTGAAGCTAAATGACAAAAAGGAAATATATGCTGTCGAGTGATGACAAAGCAAAGTAGAAACTCTGAACCTTATAACCCCAATCCAAGCCTCAAAATCCTTGATAGCCACAACAATAAAATGAAAGTGAATTATGCTTGCGCATGCTTCAGCAAAGTGAATTTCTTCCGTCTTCACTAAACTTAAAGTGAGTGAAGGTGTGCTGTGCCATTTCATCGAGGTATTGATGCCTCTTATTGATGGCCAGTGGTCTCTAGTTAGTGAAATATACATATTTAATGCCAATTCCTTTGCACTGCCATGTGGTTCATGGTAAACCTCAGCGCTGGTATTATGGGAGCAACTTTGGGTCAAACTTGGTCATTTTTTGTTATTTTTTTAAACGCTTCATGGTTTCCGGATGAATCACCAGCCTTTATGTTATAACAATGACTGCCCTACTTCTTATCAATTAGAAATAGTTCAATCCAAATTGCTCCTTTCGGCATGTCTACGGAATTAAAGCGTAAGTCGCTTTGGACTAAAGTGTCAGCTAATATGACGTAAAACATATTTTCTTAAGCACGTTGATATTATTCTCTTTAAAGCTGTTACTGCTGACCCGTTTGCAAACAGTTGCTTATTTATACTTTGAACACCAACATTTGAGGTTGTGTTTCTGGCCACCCGGCCAATGCCAGTCTCAATTTCACTCTCTTTTTAGCGTTTGTCAAAAAAAGATCTTTCCAGCTAGCCTTTAGCTTGCTTCCTTCTTAAGCAGCTAGTTGCTTACTTTGCCGTTTTGCTGTTAAGTGCTGTGCAGGTGGTGAACTCTACAGAATGTAAGCTACTGTTGCTGACCATGTTGAAAATTGTGTTGATTTACAAACAAAGCTGAACAAACAAAGTCTTTAAAGATATAGCCCATTCACATTACACTTTAATCCACTGTTTCTATAAAGAGTACACTTTATTGAAGCTTTCAATGTTCGTTGTACAGTATGTCAAAGAAACAAATCATCATTTTAACATGCATGTTTCATCTAATTGTGTGTGTTAGTGTGTGTGCGTCACTCACCTTTCTGTGTGATGTTTCGGCTCTGCCTCCTGACGCGGGTGTTCCTCAGAAACCTCCACTGCCGCTCCATCCTCACCTGACTCTCCTGGTCATGCTCCTCTGGGATCTGAGAGAAGGAGTCAGAAATGTACTGAACTCTATATATACAGTATATCTTTAATGTATAATAATCTTACTATTACATTAATAAGTTAATATTCATATAATTATTATAGTGCACATATACATTTTTATACTCTGGCAATATTGTTTCTTGAATGCCTATCAAGCCCCTTTAAATGAAATAGAATTGAGGGATGCACCTCATCACTGCACTTTTGTAGACCTCTCCTCTCTTTCCTGTCATTCACTCCCTATTTCCTACGGCCCTCAAAGGTCTCTCTGGTCCCTCCTCTGTTGGAAGAGCCAGAACTCTTCTCTGGATGACAAACTCAACACTGGAGGTGGTTATCTGAAGTACCTGCTCAAAAGTCAAGTGAATTTCTGCAAGGATTTCTTGTTTGGAGTGATAAGAACAGTGTGTCATCAGGAATAAAGCAGATTTAAATAAAACTAAAGGTTTCCTTGATGATATCATTTAGGAACTGTCTTAAAATGTGAACATTGATTGGTGAGATATAATGGTTTCTTATTCTTACAGATATATGGGATTTATGTTATAATAAAATAGGGAAATATGACTAAGTATTTTACTGTCTACAGTACATAAATGCATATATATCAAGTAAATGTTTTATGTTACTAAAACATCTAGTAATCAAATGCAGAGGCAGTTATTAAATAAACACGTATATATATTTGTATGTATATGTTAGCTTAGTTCTGTACTTCTAGTCTTATTGCTAAGTTAGTCTAGCCAGTCCATCTGTCTACTTAACACAGAGACAAGATTCATATTGACCTTCTAATTTTGTTGTCAATGAAATGTGTACGAAATCTCACAAAATGTGTAGTGTATTCTTTACGCTAACCAGTCCATCTCAATACATAAATGTAAACTGATATTGTTATTTATTTCCTCTAAAAATATGGTTGAGCCAATTTCCCCGTACTGTTTCATTCTACTCTACACTTTAGACTAAGCTAGGCTAACTGCTCCAGCTCGATGCATAACAAAAACAGACAAGATTGATATAGATATTCTTATGTTGTTTCCTAAAATAAATTGTGTGATGCATTCCAGTCTGACCTTATGCTAAGCTAGGCTAAATACTCAATACAGAACACACTGAGATTTTCTAATTTTGTTCTCAGAAATAAATTGTGTAAGCAACCCTTCAGGTTCAGGTTCTTTATTTGTACCCGTAGGTAGATTTTGTTTGCAGAGAAAAAGACAAGGGATCCATCCTGACACACTCTAAAAACAAACACAAACAACAGACACATCTCTAATAAAAGGACTAGTAAAAAGTACAAGTACACCCTGCTCCGTCAAATCTCAAAACATTTCTAAAACATTTAAGAAGGAAATGACTAGTACAAACATGGACATTCAAAATTCATAATTAAATACATAAATAAAACTGTTTTTATACCGCTTCGTTCTACTCTTTGGGACAACTAACCTCCGGCCGAAGGAAAAAGCTTAAATTCTGAGTGCAGAGGGTGGGAGCCATGGTCTAATATGGAGCTGGATAACCGCTGTAACTGCCTGAGGTACAGGGTCTCCAGGTTTAGCTGTCTGGACCGCTTTATGATCTGACTCAGAGAGTTTCTGCTCTTTAAAGTCAGGTTCCCAAACCATGACATTAGTGAAAAAGACAGAATTGACTCGATAAAAGCACGATAAAACATGACCATCATGGTTTTGTCAATGTTAAAATAGGGCAGTTTCCTAAGACAGTAACTTTAAACAGTTTTTCTAAACTATTCCTCTACAGCTCAGTATCAGCCCACACTTTTCTTCTAAGACCATTTGGATCATTGCTAATACAAAAGTGATCAAGTTGTCTCATCACCCTACAGGCCCGAATACTTAGCTAAGTACACAGTTAAGTGAAGCTTATGCCTATACTTTAAATGACTCAAGTAATCAAGTTCACTTTATGCAATCACATCTGTTGAGGGAATTAAAAAAGTTATGACATTACTAAGTCTTGTGTAACAGAATGGCCTCCACAGATTTAGTCCAGCCTTCAGTTTAATGACTCCCTTCTTTAACATGACATTCAATATGCAGAGTGTAATATGAAGCTGATCTGTCATTTTTCAAATATTACAATTGTACATTAAAACTAGGCCTTTGCTATTAGTGTGCATATTTGACAGATGAATAAAGGAAAACAGAGGGTGAACAACAGAAAAAAGCTGCTGCAGTGTGTGTGATTTTAAATGCTGGTTCCAGTGTGTGCTTATTAACCTGTTAAGCCCCAAGCCTGTTTTTCAGGTCTCAGGCTTGAAAATGACATTCCCAGAACAAATGACCATATCTTCACTTCTAAAAGGGGTAAATTAATAATCTTTTATCTCAAAGCAATGATAAACCTATGAGTTGGATGTAGAAAAGTCAGAATCAATATAGATGTTTTTTATCTTAAAGTAAATTCAGATTGAACATAGTAAAAAACTGTAACATTTGTAAATGATAGTGTCCGTCCAAAAAAAAAACATTACTTATAGTGAAAACCACCCTTGAATGATGGGATGGTAGACTAAAAGCTTTAGGAATCCAAACTATAACATATAATAAGTACCTTGTATCAAGATTGATGCAAAACAAGTGAAATTTAGAGAGATTTAGAAAAAAACAAAACACTTCTGGGGTCATTTGGGTGGATTTTCCATATCTCTGGCCCCCCTCGGTTGATTTTGATGATTGACACCTCTTTTTAACCGTTAGAGCCAATAGAATCGAGAGGGGCGTTCCTAAAAGCAACCAGAATGCACAACCAGAATGCCCAAAACCACTCTCGTAGCTATCATAGCAGCTATATATGAAAACTCAGTTTTTCCCATAAATATGAAGATGGATTATCAGTAATCATTTCAAAGTGACACAGACACATTGGATTAACCTATGGATTAACCTTCAGCAGCGTTGTATGCGTTGTAATGCCATTGCACACAACTTTTGATCAGAAAACAGCAACAGTAAGACTTATTTTCAATTTTGGTCCCGTAAAGCTACGCTGTGTGATGTCTGGGTTTGCTTCCCCTGCCGCAAGTTTTGGATGCTCAGTGATGATACTAATACTTCTAGAATCTGTGGAATCTCAGCTTTAATCTGATATCTTGTTTTTGCAGATCCGAAAAGTAATAAAGTATTTCTACCGTGAGTTCTGTGCTAAGTGCGTTAGCATTTCTTTGCTCAGAGCTAATTCAGAGGCTTGTTATTACCCTTGTGTTTTGTTTAGCTAAAAATGGTTAATATTGTCTGATAGCTGAGTTTCTTCCCGTTAAGTGGGTATGACACATTCATAGTTGAAAACTGAGGTCCATACACACACACACACACACACACCCCCCCCCCCCACACACACCCCCCCACCCCCCCCCCCCCCACGGAGTGGAGTTTTATGGCAGCACTCAACATTTTGCAAACGCAGCATTCTGATTCTTGCTACGGCAAACTCCTCTCCTCCTCTCTTTCACTTACTAGTCCCATCCAATCATCTCTGTGCTTTTATCACCTTTTGTTGCCTCTTCTGGCTCCATCTTTCTTTTACTCGCCACGCTCAGACACGTTTCTTTGTTTTTTTACCTCCAACACCTCTGTTCTTCCTCTTCGCCCTCTGTGTATTCTCTTCTTTTCATGTATTACTTGGTCTTTTTTTCTGCGTTCTCTCTACATCCTCCGTCCCTCTTCTTGCCCTGAATGTCTTTGAGTTGTAAATATTTTATTACAAGTGAATCTACTTTTCTCTCTGTATCAGCTGCTCTGTCTCCCCTCTCCCGTGCTCACATCAATTTCTTATACAATTCCTATTCTACCCTCAAAACTCTCTCCTCTAGCTGACCCTCATTATTAACTCTTTCTGAAATAATTCCCTTCTTCTTCGGTTAACCACAACATAATGTGCTGATTTGTTTTACCCCCCTGGGAGGACGGCATGTTGAGGCTGTTCAAACAGACGGAAGCCTAATTTCATTTTACAAAATTCGGCAGGGACTACTGTGCACGGTCAAAAGCTCTTCTTTTAATCTGAAATTCTCCTCAGGAGGACATTAAGTTATGGAGCAGGGGTGCACAGTTATTCAGGAGAAGCGTGTAGCTGCAGCAGCAGGTGCTTCCTCACAGGGGGGGGGGGGGGGCCCGCTGTGGTCCACAGGACTTCATTACTTTCCAAAATACTTCACATGCGCCTGTCCTCAGATGGCTCGGGCTCTGCTGCATTGTAAAATGCCTCACTAACCTGGACCTATGACACCACTCCACATCAATATTTATGTGAAACTAAAAACCTGTCATAGTAATTCTTTGTTGCTTAGCAACCCATCTAAGCTGCTTTTGAATCACTAGTTTTTATGTTGGAGGAATACAAAAATAGTTTTTGAATGAGTGATTAAAGTAAGATGGACCTTTTTTTTGGTCTATTTTATTGTGTGTAGAAATGTCTGCATTTCTTTAAAGCGGTACGTTGGACTGGACTGCAATTGTTAAATGCATTTTATAAAGCGTTTGTCCAGGACTAACGACCCCTCAAAAGGAGTCAGAATCAACACATTCATGCAGAGGCTGCCAGAAGACACTCAAACAGTTGGCCATGCCATTGGGAGCAATTTGGGGTAAGTTTCAGTATCTTGCCCAAGGACACATGGTAACAACCGATCCTCTGATTGGAGCAGACCGACCTTCTAACTCCTGAGCCACAGTCCCCCCCCCCCCTCACACATGTTTCAAAATGATAAAAGTATGACTTTGTGGCCTATTGTTGAATCAAACACACACAGACACACTGATGGGACGGAGTGATAAGAAGAAAAGAGAGGACAGTACCTTCATGACGGGCTGAGCGAAGTACTTGGCGCTCCAATCACAGAGGCCCGTCTGCAGGGAGGCGCTGATGTAGTTCCTGTGGCATGGCTCGTCACCATCCTCCCTCGCCTACACACACACACACACACACACACACACACACACACACACACACACACACACACCACACACACCACACACACACACACACACACACACACACACACACACACACACACACACACACACACACACACACACACACACACACACACACACACACACACACACACACACACACACACACACACACACACACACACACACACACACACACAACACACACACACACACACACACACACACACACACAACACACCACACACACACACACCACACACACACACACACACACACACACAACACACGCACACACACCACACACACACACACATATATATATTTTCCCGCAGTTCAAAGAGTTAACTAAACAACAAAATCCCCCCCCCCACAGACTGGTGCGGCCCCTACCTGCTCCGGTCCCTTTTTCAAACATCTTGCGGGTGCGGGGGGAACTGGTGGGAGTGGGGCGCCCTGCCCTCCCGGGGTGGGGGTTGTAGGGGGGCCGTGTGGCCGGGGGCTCTCTAGCCGGGGGTTTGGGAACCTCGTTGGTCAGACTGGAGCTGCTGGTGCTGGGCATGGGGGGGGAGCCACTGGAGGAGCAGAGACTTTAATGGAAGGACAGGAAGTTAGAGCCCAACAGCGTCACCTTTCATGTCTAAAGATAAGTTCACACTAGCAGTAATGCACTATTTCACCAATTCAATCCAACCAATTGAAGGAATTATATCACATTTTATCTGCGAGTGAACTTCATACTGATGAATAATATATTGTTCTGATGTTCTGCATAGATTGCCACTGAGACAAAAAAACGAGTGCATTGCATACAGTATGTGCTAATGTAACTGTATAATATTTACCTCTCACAGACTGACTATAAAGTGACGCTTTTAATAGGAACTAGTTGATCGGCGGTGTTTGATGACTTCAAGCTTAAAGCAGGTAATGTATGCAGTGTAAGTTGCCATGGCGATTTAGCCGGGTTAAACCACCTTTGAAGTACGGAAAACTCTGGCTTTAGGTTCAACATACCTCGCTAACCCTCTAATCTGGCTTCATATATCCCCCTCAGATTCCATTCCATTTGTTTTGTTATTTTTGATTACAATTTAGTGATGTACTTCTGGCTGCTTCATAACATATTTTGTTATGTTCATTTACTTTTATAATTCTGCTACTCATTTAATTTCACCTTGGATGAGGACCTCTAAACATTTTATTTGTATTTTATCAATGCGTGCTGGCCTTTTTATTGAATAGGTTAGTTTACTTATTTAATCTAGCATTTTAATCTGCATTGTTCCTTATAAATAAAGGATTTGTGATTGTGAACGTAGCTTTAGTGTCAACAGAAACAAGTACGGAAACCGTCTGTTTTATATTTCATATTCATCATATCATATTTATATCCAGGGTTTAGCGTCATTATTAAGTCATTACTTGTATCACTTTTTCCTGTCTGTTCTTGTTCAGGCACCACATAACAAAATATCTTATGAAATGTAATGAATGCTGTGTGTGTGACTCCTTGCTTTGTTACCAGCCTTGAACTACGTACTAGTTTTTGTCATGAAAACAAAATGAGACATTTGAAGTGGTTTTAGTATTCTTCAAATGTAGGTTCCACTCTGTGTCTCAGTCCTGCTGGAAGGAAGGCTGCTGTATGCATTTGTTTCAGGCTTTATTGTGGTAATGTTTCTTTGTGTGTGTGTGTTAGCTGTTCTCTCACCTGGCCTGGTGGATGTGTGTGCCCTTGCTGGTGGGGCTGGCGGGGGCCGACTGGGTGAGAGAGCCCGAGTCCAGGATCCTCTGGGGCCGAGCGTTCATGGTTGCCTGGGGACAAAGAAAGTTTTAATTCTCACAAGAGACACCTGTGGTCTGAAAGCAGCTCAACACACCCTGCATGTCTCTAAAGGTCAACCCAGGGTTTATCATTCAGGTTATGAGCACGTTCACATGAGAGAGGCGGGGCCGGCGACATTTAAACCAGAAACAAACATGGAGAAGCATACTGTCAGGAGAGCATCATATGTCAACGATGAAAAGTTGACTATGATATTAGAATTTTTTTTAAATAAATTATTTAAATCATGTACATTTGTACTGTCCACTCCAAGTAGGGAATGAAATCTTACCCCAAGTGAAGGAGTTCAAGTATCTCGGGGTCTTGTTCTCGAGTGAGGGAACAATGGAGCGTGAGATGGGCCGGAGAATCGGAGCAGCGGGAGCGGTACTGCAGTCGCTTTACCGCACCGTTGTGACGAAAAGGGAGCTGAGCCAGAAGGCAAAGCTCTCTGTCTACCGGGCCATTTTCGTTCCTACCCTCACCTATGGTCATGAAGGATGGGTCATGACCGAAAAGAACGAGATCGCGGATACAAGCGGCCGAGATGGGTTTTCTCCGCAGGGTGGCTGGTGTCTCCCTTAGGGATAAGGTGAGAAGTTCGGTCATCAGGGAGGGACTCGGAGTTGAGCCGCTCCTCCTTCGCGTCGAAAGGAGCCAGTTGAGGTGGTTCGGGCACCTAGTTAGGATGCCACCTGGGCGCCTCCCTAGGGAGGTGTTCCAGGCACGTCCAGCTGGGAAGAGACCAAGGGGTAGACCTAGGACCAGGTGGAGGGATTATATCTCTTCGCTGGCCTGGGAGCGCCTTGGGATCCCCCAGTCAGAGCTGGTTGATGTCGCCAGGGAAAAGAAAGTTTGGGGCTCTCTGCTGGAACTGCTACCCCCGCGACCCGACCACGGATAAGCGGGAGAAGATGGATGGATGACCATTTGTGAGATACATAATCCATGCTGAGAGCAACATTACTGCAGCTCCTAAGTGCAGAAAGACCATACGGCTTACATTTGCAACTGTGTGAATGCTTAAATGATCACGTTAAGGATATTGTTTTCATTCCCAGAAATAAATATACTAACATGAAATTCAGCTTACTTTCATATCTAATAGGGTGATGGTTTATCAAAAGGTCATTGAAGCATTATCTAATGTGCAAGCTATATGTATTCCGTCTTTAACATGTTATTCTGTCCGATACACTAATGTGAATGTGTGTGCTTTAGTTAAAAGTTATTTTATAATCCCTCACAGCATACATACAAGTGATTCATCTGTAGCAAATTAGCACTTACAATGCACAGTCTGCGACACTGTGCACGAGGTGTGGCACCGCATCATGCGGCTCAATAGGCTGACACAGATAAGTGAAAATATGATGTGATATGAATGATAAGGGTATGCATTGCTCTAAATTGCTCAGGTTACTTATGCTGTGATGTCTATGATCATAAAATTAGTAAACTGGCTTACTGCAAATGTAATTATAGTCAAATCTTTCCTATATGGGCAGTTTTATTCTGATCATTCACACATTCAATCAGTATGCGATTTATTGCCAGCGGTCCTTACTGCATTTGGCAGGTTAAACTGTGTTTCCCTTAGTCTGGAACATGCCTTAATAGTCTTAATCTTCTTCATATTAGTGTAATATTATTTATGTTCTGATTGGTCAGCAGGCAGTGCATTTCTTTGTGTTGATCTCCAACATAACCTGCTCTTGAGAAGTGAAAGAAGTCTATTTTAAAGTGATGACATTTACCCTTGTTATAACTTCCTACACCAAAGATTTAATTTAGATTTAAATATATGCACCTTATGTCACTCAAACATTAAAACATCTCTTATTTTCTTCTAGTATAATTCAAAAAATGTTGGGATACTTTCCAGTGTTGGCCAACTTACAGTGACCAACATATTTTTAACATGTGAAAATATCAAATTTCAATTCCCATTTTGCAAAGTTTGGCTAAAATCCTCAAACTTGATGTCATTAAACGGAGCAGGAAGTAGAACTTGTCATTGTGCGTTGTCTAACGGCTGCTCACAGGGGAGGGGTAAACCTAATAAAGACAACAGAGGCAAAGCATCGTTGATGAATAGCAGAGATGTTGTTTACTCGAGCCAGGTGGAGAAAAGCGCTGTAAATCTAGTTAACAAAGGCAAACGCATTTGACTACCTCTGATTTCATTTCTATGCTAATTGCACGATTGCATCGAGTATCTTTTGTTTGTCTAAAAGGCTGAGGGGGAGAGAGAAAAGTTTTTAATGCAAAGTTTAAACACATTAAATCCACTTTTTTGCATTTGTGGCGGGGAGAAGACATCAGTTACCCGGGTTAGCTGTCACTGCTTCATTAAAAGGCAATTTGAAATGTAAAAAAGGGAAATAACGCCGGCTGAAAGGGTTATTATGGAAATAGCTCAGTCGCTAACGTAAGTACCTTTTCTAATCAAGCCAACACAAGGTAATAAAGGTAAAGGTAAATAAAGGTTTTATATGGAAAAGAGGGACAAACAGAGGAAAGCTTTAGACAGAAAGGTGACGGGTAGCTGCCTGTGTGAATGCAGCAGTGCACGGCAGACATCATGCAAAGACAATGACATGATCATTAAACAGCAAAACTGAAGTTCACATTGCAGCTTTAATCCTCCTGAAGATCTGGAAAGAGGTTGCATGTGCAGCTTTAAACCAGTCAAAGCTCAAACTAAAAGAACTTAAAAAAAACACAAGGCTACAGGGTGGATCCGAGTTTATCAAGCCTCTCCTGCATTACATGTTGGAGTGCATCCATCAACAACCTTGTATTTTGTCAGAGTATCCAGTATTTCATGCCTTAAAAGGATAGTTTGGATGTTTGAAGTGTTATATGAAGTATTATCCACAGGCAGTAGACAGAGGTGGACACCTTTTCTTGTATAAAGAGAACTGGACTTTCTCTTCTCAGTCAAATGAATGGAGGGAAAATAACTCTAGATTTGGCGTTCAGCACAACTCTTAGGACCTAAGGATTTGAATAAGGGCTATAGAACTGTTCCTAATGGGTAGTTGTTAGACATTAAAAAAATGTATCCACTGATTTACAGACATGTCATTCCCAATGTAATGTAGGTCAATGGAAACGTTTTTTTTTGTCCAAATGACCTCACTGACTGACACGGAAGGGGAAGTACCACTGTTTGGCCACTGGAAAACGTGTTCGCAGTTGGAGAAACAGATTGTATTTGCACGGGGCTAAGCAATGCACTGCTGCAGAGGAGGCATCAGCCACCTTAAAAAAAAAAGGCCCACCTAATTAATAACATATTTTCAACACTTTACCTTGCTGTCAGACAGCCCTTTCTAAGGATAAGCCATCACTCTTTCCAAAGCCATCAGATTCTATTGACAAATAGGCGATTTGACCGTGCAGAACACATGTCCTCGTGGAAGACAGAGCAAATAACACTGAGTTGAGAGGTAACATTTGGGGGCTGCATGAATTGGAAAAAAATACCTTGTGATTATTTTTGACTTATGTTGCAACTACGATATGATTTGCAATATCACAGGGAATAATCTTTTTTGAAACATTATTCATATTATCATTGACACATATCTTGTATCAATAAGGATTTTTATTTAAGTCGATAGAAAGTTTGTCGGCTTGGACTTTCTCTGCAGCTTCACTCAGATATTTAGCTTTTACAAAGTATTGCACTTACTGCTGTTTGGATATACTGTAGTCCCATATTTCAAATCATTGTGCACTCCTAGTCAAATGACTCTTAATGGAGTACAGTGGCTTTGAGTAAAGTGGTTCAATATGATAAATATTGTGTAGTTTTAATGAAGCGTGTTTTTCTTTTAGTCGTCTAAAATACATGTTGCAGCTTCCGTGCTGCTTCTGCTGTATGTTCCTATACAGTACCATCTACAGCAGGAAATACACTGACTATGGATAAGTACCTCATATAACCCCACTTAAAAAACATCCAATATCTCTGTAAGAAAAAGAACATTCTAGACACCTTTGATCAGATGCTGGTATGAATGTAAACTTGCGAGCTCATCAGTTGACTCATTATTGTTCATGGATTATTCTTCCACATTTGCAGATCATCAACATGTTGTGAACAAATATGCTACAAAACAACGCAGGAGGCAACACGCCTTATCTGCTGACTAGCTTTCCAGAACATGTGATATGCAAAGCGCCCGCATTAGCAGGAAAGTGGCGTAATGGGTCCTCACAGCTGCCTCTCTCCACACTCTGCTGTGTCATCCCACTTCCTCCATCATTAATTGGCTAGAATGTTAGTCGACGATGAAAAAGTGCGTGGATAGCACTGTAAGCAAAGGCTCTGCAAGGATGCAAGGGTGAGAGCTGTTGACGGCCAAGAAAAACCTCTGAATGTTCCGGTTCAATTATTGAAGGTGCTTCTGAAAGGTTTAGCTGGTGGAGAAAGTGCCAAGCACCGCCTTGATGTATGATGATGACATGGAAGTGGTCAAGTTGAGTGTCATGGGGTGTGTGAGAGGAAATATCTGCTGCATCAGGTGGGGGACTCGCCTACGGTGGCCAACAGGTGCCAAAACATTTCCATTAGGAGAAACGTGCTGCACTTTCAAAAACGGTGCAGTAAAAACAACACAAATGTGCCAAAACACATGCAAATAAAAAAACATCTTCACCAACTTCAAAAACATCGTTTACTAAAATCGTTGCATGAACAAAACGCAGCAAAAAGCTCCAAATGCAACAAAAACGGGGATAATAAAAAGTGATGCACACAGCTGGGGCCGAAGGATTTTTGGTAATAAAGTTGGCGAACATGACATATCAATGGAAACCTAAAATAACGTTATTTTTGGCTCATTTGAACAATGTGCTTGCATTATTCTTTCCAATATTATTGCGAAACTGCTGTAAGCTAGCTGTGTGCGTCACTTTTTAGTGCCCCCGTTTCCATTGTGTTTTGAGCTACTAGCAGCGTTTTTAGTAAACGCTGCACTTGTTTCGTCCAGTTGGTGAATGTTTTCTAAATGCTGCCCACATCTTGTCAAGTAGTTGACTTCAAAATGCAGTGCGTTTCTCCTAGTGGAAATGTTTTGGTCCTTTGTAATACATTTGCACTTGTCAGCCACCATATTTGTCGAATGAAAATGACATTCAAACTTTTTTTAAAGTGCATATAGCTTCTTTTATCCAGCAAGCCAGACTTACTAAAGAAGCACAGATGAGTCAGGATAGAATAAAAGAGCCAAGGCTTTTCACCCCGGAATCATGCAGCAAGAGGTGGCTATTACAAATCATTTAATGCTCTCATCATCCGAGGAGCAAGTCCATTTTAATTAGCTGCTGACCTTGTTCCTTTTGTACCAAATCAATAACATTTGACATTTAAAAACCTAATTAAAAGAGCTGGATCTCCCAGTTAGGCTGATGTTAACACTTGTGAACTTGGGATGGATGTGCTCTGATTAAACTGTCTCTGCTCTCTGCAAGAAATAATGTGTGCTCCATCTATGATAACTCATTAACTTCAGAAAGTAAGGCTTTTAAAAAGGTGCTTAAATTGTCATTCTCTTCAAATGTCACACTGTTCTCCCTCTTTTTTAGCATACAGAAAAGAGATACAACATTGATATTCAAAACGTATTCCATTGTGTTTTCTGATAAGAGTGTCAGACGGAAAACTCATCTTTTGTTTGCCACAGATGACGTTATATTGACCGGACTTCTTTCTGGGCATTGATATGACTGCATGCCATCCTAAATTTAGAGCGTCCTAGAATGACTCAAGATGTAGAATTTCTCTTCAGCGTATTCATGCCATGAAAATAGAACATCAAAACTTTGTAAGAAACTTAACTATGAAGTCAAACTGGAGTGATCTCATCCCAGTCAGACATTTTGCACAAATCAGATACAATTTTGAATTGAGAAAAAATTAAAGTCTCATGTAAGATAAAAAAAACAACAGTCATATAAATCAGGAAAAGTCAACATAATCAGGAAACGTCTGAGTCAAAGTAAACCTGTACACGTCAAGTCTCAAGTCAATGAAACAAGTAAAAAGAGGAGTACAGGTCACATAAGACAAGTAAAAGTCAAGCCTCACATCAAAGGAGACAAGTTAAGTCTTAATTCCAAAAGAACATCGCAGGTTCATTCCCAAGGCAAAGAAGACAAGTACATTTAAAGTCCCAAGTGAAATAGTCAAGTCAAGTCTCCAGTCAAAAAAGGCAAAAAAAATAAAAAATAAAATACAAGTTCAAATCAAGTCCAAAGTCAAAGAAAATAAGTACAAGTCTTACAAATATTAAGTTAAGGAAAGATACCAAATCAATAAAAAGACAAGTGTTGGATCATTCAAGACCTGTTCAATCAAGTCTTCTCTAATTTCATCTTGATTTCAAATCAATGTAGACAAGTCCAAGTTAAGTCACAAGTCCTTAAGAGTAAGTCAAAGTCAATCACAGGCCATTTGCAAGTCTTTGAGGTCTATGAAAGATGAGCATTCAAATGATAAGCTGTGTACAAACAGTTATCTCTGTAAGTGATTCCGATATATTAAAACACTCCAGGTTTAAAACTTAGGAATGTAATGTTTTTGCTTTCAGATTTTTAGGAAGGAATCTTTGTTAGCGTTGGAGTCTGGCTTGCAATGTGATTGAAGTCTTAAATCTTCAGCTCTTACAATTAACAGACGTGTGAAGGTGACTCAGAAGGTAAGGGGTTGGTGCAGATTGTCTATTGGAGGAGACACTCTTTGATAAATATGACACCACTGCTTGCTCAGCTGACTCTAGGTCTGCAGGTACACAATAGTGTGTTTTGGTGTTACACAATCAGCATAGAGCTCTAGCTGTAGAATAACAGGTCTTATTGCCTTTGATTGTGAATCAAGTCCTGTTGCTTTGTATTGCAGTCCAGTAGCAGTCTAATTGCAGAGGTGTCACTGTGAGGGGGAAATTGGTGTTGGTGCTCGGAAACTAGAGCCTCTCTGCCTGAGGGTCGGGATGGGCAGTGGACTGCCGTGGTTATTATGGCTCCTTAAGTTACAGCAGTCTCTTTGCTCTGACCTGCCGAGCCTCGGGGAGCCGTTGGCCCTTAATTGCATTTGCACAAAAGTAATGGCTTTCTGTAGAAAGAAAATGCCACGGGAAGGATGGTGTGTGTGTGTGTGTGTGGTTGTGTGTGTGTGTGCGCTGGAAACATATTTTTCACCACATAACCATGTGGTGAAAAGAGCTGACATACGGATACAGGGACCAAAAGTCGATTATTACACTCTAAAATATGTGTTGACCCTCACCTAAAAATGACTAACAGTCAAAAATCATCACATTGATTGTTATTTGATCTTTAATACATCCACTAAAAGTGCACCACATCTAAAGAACACACCGTACCTTGTATGCGATGCTGTTGAGGACCTTCATGGCCAGATCGGACACTTCAGGAAAAGGGTCTGCAGCGAGATGTAGCAGCACCCTCCAGATCTGAGTGTAAACACTGTTGAAGGAAACACCTGGAAGAGACACAAATAAATAAGTTGACGTTTTAAAATCTTTCCGGAAAGGAAATTCTGTTTGCAGGTGCAAGTTTTTTAGACAATACACACAGAAGATGAATAACCCCACCAGCAAATACATCTAGCTCTGGTGCAACCCTGATCACTGCCATCAAAGTTCATTGAAGCAGCGGAGCTAACAGCTAGGTGGTCGTGTACAATCATCTCATTAGCATCATGCTAACTGCCACGGTCCATTTCCTCTCCCGCTGTTGGGTGTGTTGAGGTGGCACAGGGGAAATGGCCTCCAATGTCAGGCCATTGACATCATTAATCAACACACACATAAATACACACACAAGCTACATTTCTGTCACTGTCGTCATGAATGCAAATGAACAGTCTCTCCTGTTATTATGTTTTGGCAATTGGCTAATCTTCAGCTTTGACTATAAATGAGCAATGTGAACACGGTCATCATTTCCACAAACCAAAGCCTTTTTAACTATTTAAAGATGAGGCAAATACTTCCATAAATCAGACAATGCAGACATGAAAAGATCTTTTTATACAGCTAAGGGCAACCATTTTCTTAATTGAATCCAGTTTGTTTATCTACATTATTCTACAGCGGTATAGTATCGTACCACATCATATCGTTTTGTATCAAATCGGATTGGTTTTCTTATCCAATCGTGTAAAATGATGGCGTATAGCGCATCGAATCATACCAAATGTACTGTTATTGGAGATGTTGTATTAAATGAGTCGTACAATTAGATTTATATAGATACATGTAATAAATGTATTTATAATGTATACATCTGTATTTGATCTGTTGTATTAGTTAGTGTGACAGGCATTATGACATGTTTAAATGTTTATTGATTGTTAAGTGTGTAGCTGGCAAATAGCATCTCTTCTCTTTTTTAAATGATTGTATTTTATGCATGGTCCTTCGATAAAGAGATATAATAATAATTGTATCCAATCATATCTTATCGAATAGTCTTGCATCGTAACAGACCGTACCAAATCGTATCATAGTTTTGTATTTGACCGTGTATAGTTCTTTGTGTGAGCAATAACCTCCTTCTCTCCATAACCCCTCCGTACTTTGGGTTTTTACCTTCTTTCGAAGGTGGTCTCTGCAGTGCACTGAGCTGTTTCTCCTTTCACCCCACCCTCCTGTTTCCTCCCGTCTCCCCTCAGATCTCCCTAACCATGCAGGTGGTCCTGTAAACCTGGACTCTTATCCCAATCCCTTTTATCATCTCACTGCTTCACTGTCCTTACTCCTCTGTGCGGCTGAAGAATGACTGAAGCCTGGACCCTCTCTCAGCTCAGCCCCCTCTCCAGAGAGTGCTGAGAGGGTTCAATGGTCCCACGCTTCAAAGATAACAGATGAAAGGAGAGGAGGAAGATGGAGGGCTACAGCTGGGGTATGCAGAAGGATACAAAAAGCACTAGAAGACATCTAAAAAAGGTGAGGAGCTTAGAGGCCAGAAGGAGTAAAAAGGGAATTCAGTGAGATTCAGCGGAGCACGGTCAGAAAGGCGAATAAAATCTACAAAGAATATAAAAAAAGGAAAGAATGAGGAGGAAAGATTGAAAAGAGAAGGAGAGAGCTAGTGACGTAGGTAAAGAGGTGATCAGGGTGTAGCCTGAGGGGCAGGATATGATTAGCGAGCGCTACCTGCTGCAGTAAACAGTTGATAAATGTGAAATATGGGTCCTTCCCATTGAACCACCGTGCTACATTATGGGTGCACACAAATTACCGCTGCATCTCTTCTATAGTCCACATGAGGGGCAGTGACGGCGGACATTACTCACGGCTCCCTGCACCAGGGGCTGTCCTGACTTGACACGAGACAGTGGTAAAGACAGTTCATTATTGTCTAAACGAACCACTGAAGAGGGGTTTATGGCCTCCTTAATTCTGGCAGATTACATATAATACTTCTATCACGATTTTAGAGCTGTAAATGGTTGGGGCATAAAACATGAATCGGAACATTTGAAAGCGGAGAGGAAAGGCATGTTTTGAATATATTCTGGAGGGGGAAATAAGCAGTGCAAGCAGCAGCAATTCATATCTGTGATGCTCTTTAAGTGGTGTCTCAAATAAACTGACAGGTAGATGCGAGTGGAAGCTTTAGATGTGACAAAATATAAACGTCATTGCAGATACAGAAAATGCTAAGCACACACTAACTTTATTCGCTTTTATAAGTTATTTAATGGCACTACATCACGCTTTTATCCTAGGCACTTTTCAATGTTGTCTCTCTTTCACCATTTCCCACAATCACAATGATGCAGGCCTGACCATCAGGAGCGATGAGGGTTGAGTGTCTTGCTAAAAACATAGCCTGTACCTAAGTAGTAGACGTAGTCAGCATGATACACTATAAAGACAAAAGTATTGGGACACCCCTCTTAATCAGTGAATGCAGGTGTTTCATTCAGTCCCATTGCCACAGGTGTATACAATCAAGCACCTAGCCATGCAGTCTGCCTTTACAAACATTTGTGAAAGAATGGGTTGTTCCAAAGAGCTCACTGAATTCGTATGTGGTGAGTCAGTTCGTGACATTTCTTCTCTCCTAGATATTCAATGATCAAAACCGGTATTATTGCAAAGTGGAAATGTTTAGGAACCACAGCAACTCAACCAGGAAGTGGCAGACCACGTAAAGTTACAGAGCGGGGTCGCTGAGTGGTGAGGCGCAGAGTGCGTAAAAGTGGCCAAAGCTCTGCTGACTCAATAACTGCAGAGTTCCAGCTCTGGCTTTAATATCAGACCAAAACTGTGGAGCTTCATGGGTTTTCATGGCCGAGCAGCTGCATCAAGCCTTAGATCACCAAGCACAATGCCAAGCGTCAGATTGGAGGGGTGTAAAGCACCACTGGACTCTGGAGCAGAGGAAACGTGTTCTGGGGAGCGACCAATCACGCTTCTCTATCTGGCGGTCTGATGGACCAGTCTGGGTTTGGCGAATGCCAGGAGAACGTCACCTGCCGGACTGCATTGTGCCAACTGTAAAGTTTTGTGGAGGAGGGATAATGCTATGGTTGTTTTTCTGGGGTTGGCCTGGGCCCCTTAGTTCCAGTGAACAATTCTCAAGGCTTCATCTTACCAAGTCATTTTGGACAATTCTATGCACCCAACTTTGTGGAAACAGTTCCAGCATGACTGTGCCCCAGTGCGCAAAGCAAGGTCCATAAAGGCATGGTTGGATGAGTTTGGTGTGGAAGAAGAGCCCTGACCCCCACCCCATGGAACACCTTTGGGATGAACTAGAACGGAGAGCCAGGCCCTCAGGTCCAACATCAGTGTCTGACCTCACGCTGCTCTACTGGATGAATGGGCAAACATTCCCACAGACACACTCCAACATCTTGTAGAAAGCCTTCCCAGAAGAGTGGAAGCTGTTGTAGCTGCAAAGGGGGGACCAACTTCATATTAATGCCTAAGAATTTGGAATGGGATGTCATAAAAGCTCCTGTAGGTGTAAGGTGTAGGTGGCCTAATACTTTTGTCTATATAGTGTATCTTCAATTGGTTTGTGAACTACCATAAAAGCCTTGAGTTGGGCATCTCGGCAGGCGCCATCTTGGGTTTTGCCCATGGCCAGCCATCATGTTTTTTTGGAACCAGAAAAGGGTGGAGTTTAACGCTAGACCAGATTTCTTTAGGCAAAGAAAACATTACAAAATACTTTCACAAAGTGAAAACACTGTAAAATGGTTATATTTGAAATAAGTGCTGTTAATCACAAGGTAGCCACTACTTTAATCTATAATCTAACCCAGTGCTTCTCAAACTTTTTTCAGTAATGTACCCCCTTTGAAACATTTTCTCAGCCAAGTACCCCCTGACCGATCCTGAACGTTTTTGATCGAAAAAGCCTGTATGAATAATTACAATATAGTGATGTTCCCTCAGTGTGTGATGTATTAACTCATTCGTGGTATGCATTACAACAAACTAAGGATATTTTCATTTTATGCATGAAAAAAAATAACATAACACTTTTATAAAACAGATTTTTCCAAGGAGTTTTCCAATTTAAGTAATATGTTATTGTGAAAAACTATAAAATACAATACACACATTTGACATGTTTATATGAGGACCCCCTTAGTGGTTCTAGGAATGTTTTATATAAAATTGTGTTTTCTATTTAACTTATTTTACTAAGATTATTTTTTTAATTAACCTTATTATTATTTTTTTTAAATCTCACGTACCCCCTGCAGTACCCCAACGTACCCGCAGGGGTCCGCGTACCCCCATTTGAGAATCACTGATCTAAGCTATAGAGCTGAGTTTAAAAAAAACCTTGAATGACCTGGTGCAGGACTGTGATTTCACATGCTGATAATAATAAGGAAATATACAGGGGTCATTGTTCTTTAGGAAAGGAAGATGACTTACAAGACTTAAACTAACCCCATCAGCTGGTCAGTGTCACATATCCAGTAAAATATCTTAACATTTACAGGATAGATTGGAACAACATTTGGTATAGTCATTCATGTTCCCAGCAGGATGAATCATGTTGGTTTTGGTGAGCTTTGACTTCTTATCTAGGATAACAATTGATCACATTGTTAATACCTAATGACTTAGGGAATTCCATTAGCTCTACTATTTAGCGCCAATTGGCTAGTTTCAGGCAGCCCTTAAAGGACATGGGAAGTGAGCATGAATTGGGTTCATGATGTTGAACTTGATGATATTATACCTGCTCGGCATTAGCTTATTAGCATTGTCACTGGGTGCATGTCAGCATACCAATCAATAAAACCTCCATATGTAATTTACTTTCTTGCAATTGCTAAAAATCACATAAACACATTTTGAACATCAACCTATTATTCTTCCTCAACCTCTTTTTCATTACAGCCACACAGAGATACTGGCGTTGCTGTTGCAGTGTAGTAGAGTGTGTATGAATTATAGTAAGAAGGCAAACACAAACAAAGAAATTAAAATACAATCAATAAATCACTGCTGCAACTCTCCACCCGACTCCCACACTGTTCTGTTATCCTGCTGGCTTCCTGCCAGTTAGTGTCCAGCAGCATTTAGCATTTATATCTGCAATTTGTTTTGACGCTACACTACGCAGGCCACTTTACCTCTCAACACTTATTTTTGTTGTTTGCAGTGTTGACTCACAGATGTTATAAAACTGAGAAATTGTGCTGCTGTATACTAAAAACATGAGAAACAAGTTCATACATTTTTAAGGCGAGATGAAAAAAAGGCCCCAGGGTGTTGGGGAGAAAACTTCAAGCAGAAACAAATTAAGCAAATGAGTAAACAAGAAACACATCCACAAAGACAAGTGAAGTCTTTGTTAAATGAGATATAACAGAAATATAATTGCCAATGGAATTTGATGCTAATGTGCACAGTAGTATATATTTCAGCTTTTTATTTTTGGTCCTAATGCTACTAACACCCATTCGTCTGCTCGGCTCTGCTTGTTTATACATGCAGCACGCGGCGAGGTGGGTGTCGTAAACAAGAGCGCTGGGAGGCTGGGACTCTTTCAGCTGGGGCGGGGGCACAGCCTGGTGGGCGCGGGGCCAATATGTCTTTTAACCTGCTTACACTGCGCCAGCTTTAAGAGACCAGAAGCAGCTTGAAAAGGTTTAACCCGACATTGACTGCTCAATTGTTCAAATAAAAGGGTAATGAGAGCGAGTGCGAGGCTCTTTTTGTTGTTGTTTTCTTCCTAAAAAGTCCATTCCTAAGCTTTTACTCCCTGTAAGGAAAACTTCTGTAGCAATGGAGAGTCACGACTCAGAGATCGGACATTAAGAGTCCCTATTCTGCTTTTGGGTCTTCCTTTTCCTTTAGAATATTTTATAGGTTTCTGTGCATGTAAATGGTCTGCAAAGGCATAAATCCCTGTGTTCCCTCCAGAGGGAGTTTCTCTCCCCCCTGCCTGAAACCCCTCCATTGGACTCCTTTGTTTACTTCCGTAATTTAATGACATCACTAAGTGACAATCGCGCTTCTATTGACTAGCGCTCCAACACATTGTACGTGAAAAACTAAAGGACGGTACGTTTATATAAGGTCTAGACCAATCACGGCCAGCCAACCAATCAGAGCAGACTGGGAAAAGAGGTGCTGCAGCACAGGCAGTATGAGAAAATTAAAGAGCTTTTTGAACATTAAAGCATGGAGACATGACCCAGTAGATATAAATAATAATATACACCTGAAAATGAGCAGAATACGTCCTCTTTGAAACAAAATATGTTCATGCTTATGAGCGCAACTCCATCCAGGTCAATACAGCTATGTTAAAGTTGATTTTAAAAGCAGTGGAAATGAGCAGTTTTCTGGAAGTCTTTCATGTCGGTAACACTAATGTTATGAAGCATTCATTTAGGGACCAAAGCAAAGAAAAATACATTTCATTATAGTACCAGCACCTTCTTTATGCCAAGTCAAATTCTCCGATCTCTAGAGCTCAATTTACTTTTCCATTACTGCTTGCAAAAACTAGGCCGTGCAAAAGTCACATACTGGGATGTAAAAGTGAGTTTTGAACCTAGAAAATGCGAAAGAGGGAAAAGGGAACCCCTCGTTTCACTTTCTCCTTTCCCGAGGGGTGGGAGTCAGTTAATGGTTCTCCTGCTCGCATACAAGCTGGCTGTCAGGGCGCATGGTGGAGCCGCCAATCAGCTGAGAACAAGGGTGAAAGAGTTCAGTGTACGAGGAAAAGCACTCTAAGAGCCTCAGGTGGCTCACAGGGTGTATCCCCCCCTCCTCTATACTGTCCTTTACACATCTGTAAACCTTCCTTACACCCGGGCTATTCTTGGCCTGGGAGCCTTTCTTCTCTGTCACCCCCACAATCTGGAACAAACTGCCTGAATCACGCGCGTCCGCAGAAACTCTTAGTATTTTCAAATCGAGACTGAAAACATATCTTTTTGCCGCTGCTTGTAATTGAACTGCTCATATTCACACTGCAGTTTGCTTTTATTCATGTATTGTATAACTGTTGTGTTTATCTTATTATTTTTGCCTTTTAAATGCCTGTTGTAAAATGCCATTATATAATGTGTTTTTACTGTATGTATTCTTAAATGTCTTATTTTATTTTCTAAAGCACTTTGAATTGTCGCGTGCTGTAAGCTGCTATATAAATAAACTCTCCTCCCCCCCCCCACACTATTCCAGTTGGCCTTTATGCTTTCCTATAAAACAACTATTATGTTCATGAGCATGGAACACCACAACAATTCCCTGATGGCTCCCACAAGATTGCTGACATCCTCGTGGATTCATCTTCTGATTATAGACACATGCATTTCCAAACATTTGGACTACCTATGTTGCAAATGTATTATCTCTTGGATTTACACACGGCATCTATTGCACGTCTGTCCGTCCTGGGAGAGGGATCCCTCCTCTGTTGCTCTCCCTGAGGTTTCTCCCATGTTCCCTTTAAACTGTGGGTTTTCTCTGGAAGTGTTTCCTTGTACGATGTGAGGGTCTAAGGACAGAGGGTGTCGTATTGTCATACTGATATTCTGTACAAACTGTGAAGTCCACTGAGACAAATGTAACATTTGTGATATTGGGCTATATAAATAAACATTGATTGATTGAAAAATAAATAAATGCATCTGCACCGCCCACAGCCGTTGGAACATTTTTTTCCCCAGACAATTAAAGGGCTACTTCAGCAATTTCTCATTCTACTTTTATACAATAGCGACCTACAATAGATAGAAATTCCATACAAATTAAAACAGCAATCCAGTATATGTCCTAGTACAAGTCAAACTCATAGACTATCAAATATGAACGTGACACCATCACAGAAACACAATCAGCTGGCTGCAAGCCAAATCTAAGGCTTCACCTGTCACTCAAAGCGACCACGCCCTCAATCAAATGAGACTTTAAGCCTAAATGCAACTTAAAAGGCTAGCTGTAGATTGACAATTAGCTATAGAAACCAAATGTTTTTTTGCATTAGGCTGTAAACATAATATTTTCTACTGTAAAGTTAGGAATTTTAACCACGGGTCAAGGACATCAGGGTTGCCTGAAGGACTTGACAAAGTTCCTCCAGAGATAAAGAAGGAATCCGTTTTTATGGGCTGACTAGTCTGTCACATCACCAATGCAATGACTTGAATTGAGCAAAACTTGTACGTTGTTTCCCTTAATATAGCAGGGACATGCTATCAAGCTACCTCAATCAGATTACCAGTGCTAATGCTACCATGCTAGGTTTAGTGGTGAAGTACTTTTGTTTAGTTCTCACCTATGAGGGAGTTGAGGGAGGAATAGGAGGACACCCGTCTCATTTTGTCGATGGTCTCAAAGGAGAGGATGTACTCGTCGTTGTCGGGGCTCCCCAGGGTGCTGCTGGCGCTGCTGCTGGTGCTCAGGTTACCAGGAGAGAAGGCTGCTGGTCCCCCTGAACCAAAGGAAAACACACAACTGTTACCCTCAAATCTGAAATATCACAAGCACCATAACTGTAATACGTGAAAAATAGGAAGAGGCTATCATTTTGTTTAGAAAGTACTTTAGCTGCTGTAATAGAGCTGTATAAATACAGTGTATTACTTTTATTATTGTCGTAAAAATACAATATTTAAATCTACATTTGATAAGGTGTGAGGTGAGTAAACAGATCTTGCATGGCGACACAATCATTTCCCCATTATTTAATTTCAGGCGTCGGGCTCAGTCGTCTCCTGCTGTAACTCTTCTGATCACCAAACATTACTATGGCTCATGAAAACCAATGACGTCATGCGTCCTCACAGCAGGAGCAAACGTGGAAATGGAAATTGGTTATGTGTGGAAATACACTCGGCAGTTATTGATGATAAACACGGCTGTATACTGGAATATAGGGAAATTAGAAACGCTGTCACCAAGTGCCACTGATTTAACCCCACTATGGGCTCATTACTCAGACAGGCAGTGGGAGACAGAAAAGAGTGGGGGGGCTGCAGCTGTCTGTCTCAGCAGTGACACAACAGGAGGTTAAAGTGACGGCAGGCCATGTGTTCACAAAGCTGTGGACATGGATGAGGATGACACGACGCGGCTGAAATGTTCACTTTACTTGCCGTTAGGATTATTTGAACAATTATTCTACTTATTAATTGTTATTTAATATTTCATAAAAAAATAGTTTTATTATTTTCTGATGGTTAAACTTCCTTATTTTCAACATTTCACCAGATATAAGACTTGCCAAAGTGCACTTTCTTGCAGATAGTTATCTTAAAGTCTTTGTTTAAATTGTATTATATTTCTTACTTGCGTGTAAAGCCTGTTAACAAGCTGCTCTAACAAAAACATTTAGAATTTGTGATCAATAGATTATGTTTAATTATATTTATTTGTAATGTATTCTATTGTTTCCTGAGCTCCTCCTGACAGCCAGCTGTGTTATAAGATAATATGAGTATGCTTGAAAACAAACGGCTGTGATTGGTTGAATCATTCTGATTCTGGCTCCTACACACGCTTTCTATATTCACCACCTCTGTAAGTGTGTTTGCCAAACTGAGCACCATTCTGATCCATCATGGGGGGGTTTTAAAGGCAAACAAAATGCAACTAAACACCAGTAACCTAGCAAACTGCAATATCCCTAAACACAATGGCATGTGGCGAATGGAAAAAGTTCATGGGAAATGGATAATAACCTTTTTATTCATTTTCATAAACTTGATTGTTTGATATGGATTTAGTTTGAATTACAGAATTGTGAAAAATAAATATGACTGTCAATAAATGATTCTCAGTAAGAAATGGTAATTGCTTTGGAGGTGTAAGGCATCTACATGATATTATAAAACGGACAAGTCAAATCAAGCAATCTGATTGGTTCTTAGCCGTGATATACTGAGCGTATACCACGGGTAGAATTGTAAGTTACTTTTCACAACAAGTCAGTATCCCTCCGCGTCTGAGAAAAACTGTATACCGTTGGGCTGAAAAGCAAACTGCCTGCAGTTTGCTTTTCAGACTGGAACAAGAAAGCAGCGGAGAAGTAACGGGGCAGAAACCCTCCTTTTTACGCAACGGTCCAGACATAGATATCAAACGGCAAAACATATTCAGTTGCCAGTTACTTTGGCATTAGGGCAGGGATATCTAGATACTTTCCAAGGTTTGACATAATGAATTGTGCTACTTTTAAAGCAAGCAACGATGTTTTCAAATCTGTAATCAAAGAGGTCCGCAAAAACGCTATCGACCAATCAGATTGCTTGATTTGACTTGTCAGTTTTATAAATATATTTCCATTTCTTCCGTTACGAAACAAACTAACAAAGCATAAGATGGAAACATTTAAGATTAACTTCGACCTCCGGGGGGGTCTTACTATGGAGGAGTGGATTGAGCAGTGCCTATCTCCAGAAACAAAAAGCACCTAAACGACGACATGCAGAGCTACGTGAAGAGCAGGTAGACCAACTGGAAAAGTACCACCATTCAAAAGCTTTCTGATGCGGGTCTTGAAACAAAGCAGATAAATGATGACCGTAGTGGCCACAGGTGCGAAAGCTCTCTCCAGAGCTACTGGAAGCCCAATCTCAGGGACCGGAGAAAGTGGAGCAATATTCTGACCACGCCAAGCAACAGCCTAGATTAGAACAACCTCAACCTATACAAGTAACCTCGTAAGCCATGCTACTGATGCTGGACAGTTTTTCAGTGGCTGCACAATAAACGGCAACATACAAATGAATGTAAATAAATAGCCAAATAATGGATCAACGCTCTCTGTTTAATATGTTCGCTAGCTGTTAGTGTTGTTGCATAGCAACCACCTCGCACTATGTTTCGTGCAGAAGGCAACGGAGGGACTATTTTATTTTGAACATCATTATTTACTAATAAAAACTATTTAAATTAGAGTGTGTATTTTTCTTTCATATTGCCACACTTGGTAACCGTTTTATAAAAGCAATAGCTCACGACAGGCCGTGGTATATGCTCATTATATCACAGCTAAGGGGGTTGTCGACCCTCCGCTTCACGTCGGGCTGAACCACGCCCCTTAGCTGTGATATAATGAGCATATACCACGGCCTGTCGTGAGCTATTGCTTAACTATACAACAGCTCAGTGAACTGGCCTCAGTAACCATGGTGACGGATGTTCACTGCTCATGGCTCTGTACTTTCTGAGCCCATCTCAACAGGCCTGCAGTTCAGCACCACGGACAGTTCCCAGTCCCACAGCAGCTCAGAGCTCTGTGCATCTGCCCGACTTTCTTTTAAATCTATGATTAAATACAATGTGCAAGATGACTGCTAACTGGATCTGCATCATGTTGTTGCTAACATCCAGGATGTAAAGAATGAAGAAAGGCCCGGACACACCAAGCTGACACCAAAGAACTGACACAGACGGACCCCCGACTGTTGTGTCGCCTCGCGTCTCTGCCATGTTTCGTACTGGAACACACCGCAAAGACTTCAGCTGAGGGCCAAGAAGCACGTATGAACTGCGCATGCGTGAGTGGCAATAACTCTCCTTACCAGCAGGCGGCGGTAGTGTGTATTCGTCATTCAAAAGAGGCAACAACCGGAAGACAGACTGCGTGATAACCGAGAGAAGAAGAACAGACTGCGTGATATAAACAAACAACAGATAGCGTGTGCGTTCCATTTTCACTCTACAACGAGAAGCTCCTGTGTCGAGAGCTGGAGTTAAATGAAATCTCAGATTTGCCTTCTTAATAGTTTGTTTGGGTCCCTCACTTCCGTTTCGCTTCTCATGCACTGATTCGCTAGCTGAACAGCCAATCAGAGTGATTTATTTTGCCTTTGGCCGTCGGCACGGCTGAAAAGACACGACGGTGCGGGACACACCAATCTGAGTAGGGCGTGTCGACGCCCATCGTTGGCCTGACGCCCATCGACGGCCAAAATCGGCTTGGTGTGTCCGTGCCTTTAGTCAATAACTAATGTGGATACTTACAGGACCACAGTGAGGCAAAACAAAACAAAGTTTAAAAGAAGTTTGAGCAGCAACTATGAAAGCTAGGGGGAATATCAAAGTGGAAATTGACAAAGCAGAAGCCAACATTGAGTTGCTGGGGGGGGAGCTTCATAAACAATGTACACTACAAGAATAATACGGAGATATTGAAGCGATACAAGGATTCACTCATAGTCAAATAAGAGCTTCTAAAATTGGTTATGTCCCCCGAGTATTTCTCAGAAGACACAAGCCATTATTGAAAAATAACTTCATATAAGTCACCTGCCATGTTTAACTAGGTCAAACATGGCAGGTGACTCTTCCTGATGGGTAACGCTGTTTTGACCCAAGATGTTGAAGTGTTACTCTATATGGAGCAAAAACTGTAAGTAGTCCATCATTTGATTTAAACAATGGATATCATGAGTTTGAAAATTGTTGAAAACATATGCTAGTTAAGAAATACTTGTACTTGTTTTAAGACACTATATTGTGTAAATGGCAGAAGCAATAGCAAACATGAAGTCCTACCTGCAGTAGTAATAGTCCAAAAGAAAGACTCATCCATTGCTTTGTACATTTTGGAACTTAAGCTCCTTTTAAGATCTTACATTTTCTGAAGAAAGAATTAGTAGGAATCTTTTTGGGAAAGGGTAGAAAATCCCTACTTACATGTTGGAGGCAAACATGTTGATAAAGCTTATTAAAAGACTACATTTCTGGACCAATTCTGGACTTTAGCCATAACATCATATTTGTAAGCCATGGAGGACAAGGATGATGAGAATGAGTTTCTTGCATGTGAGAGCTAGATTGTAAGAACTTCAAAAACCTGGGCTGTTATCTGTGCTCAGCTGCGGGTGAAAGCTCTTATTCGTGCTTACTGAGTGTCATGGCAATAATAGAATATAGAGGAAAGCCAGAGGACTGTTGCAGCCTAATGAAATGCTCTCAGAATCCTTTCTGTCACTGAGCTGAGTAAACCTCCTCCTTTGTCTTCAGTCCTCCTACAGATTCAACTGAAGTCCGGTACATCTGATTTATCTCCCAGCACCCCCTCCTACCCTCTTCGTTGAGGTTGAGGTTCTGCAAGCTCTTGTTCAGGTTACGGGCGGTGGTGGCAGCTCTGATGTTGGTGTAGGAGTTGACGGAGCGCAGGCGGGGGATGGCAGGGCTGTCCCTCACTGGAGTCAGGTTCCCGGGCTCTGGGGGGGAGAGGAGGAGGAGGGGGGATTTTACCCAAACACGTGAAATCAGTGTGTTCTTGTTAGAAAAATATCACTCGTCACCAGCTTGAGCTTCAATACCAGGATACATTTATTATCCTGGCAAGAATGGAAGTAGTCATCACATACAGAGCATCAACTAGTTCCTGAACAGTGTCCCTCACATGCTGATATACAAGAGAGGGAGTTACACGGTCACAAGATGGAAAATACCAGTTTAAGCAGTATTCAATGTTTGGTTCAGATAAGCTGAGGCCCACGTCAGAAATGAGCATGCTTGTCACATGTCTATCTCCATAGAGGCTGAATCACCATCACATAGCTATCATATGCCTAAAACAGTCCTGATGCTCTTCTAGGTAATCAGACATCCTGTCATGTACACAGCTACAGATGGGATACCTTTGTTATTATGTGTACTCTGATATTGGAAGAGGACATTCAGGATTTTCCCGACAGTTCTGATAAGAGTAATGTGAGAATAAGAAACATTCACACATTACCCTCTTAACAGTGGCACCAATCTTTTCAATATGCATTATAGGGCTGCATGATTCGGAAGGAAATGGTTTGGATTATTTTGACTGCTATATGCTTTACACTACTGGAGGCATTGATACATTTTTGGGCTGAAAAATACTTTTTCCCATTGACTTATATTGGGGAAAAGATTTCAATGATGTAATTTAATAAACTTGTAACTAAGTTACTGACACAGATTCTGTTATTGAAACAAAAATCAATCCTCAAGGTTCAAGGCTTTTATTGGTCATACGTACATAGCTACAGTAGATATGACGATGCTGTTATTTGATGGGGTTTCTGTGCCCCTGACTCTCTTTCGTCATGCTTTAAATGTTGCCCTCTCATTAAATAACTGCCGAAAGCTCACCCCCTATCAGCCTGCAACCAATACTGTGCATCCTGCGATTCAAATTCAAATTGCGCTTTCGATAAGCTTAGTGTCTTTACACTAACAATGAACAATGCAGGTATTTACTTCTTTATACAGGGACACATGCTTTGATTCACATGCCTTGGTAATGCTCTGAATATATTGGGTTCAATCTCCTAAACCTTAACTATGCGAGTATGCGTAGATAAAGGGAACCTTTATGAGTTTCTTAGTGTGTGAACCTGGGATAGTTATTGTACATACTGTATAACTTTGAAAATTCAATAAGTCATAAAATAAAATAATGAGCAACAATTTAAATTAAATGACGACGTATGTTTAGATTTTGGGCAGATTTTTACTCCATTGACTTTACATTACAGAAACATTGTTATAAAAAGTGCATAAAAAGACAAGGTACAATGTGTGTGTGTGTGTGGGGTACCTGCAGTGTTAGCTGGTGAGGGCACTGTGTAGTTCTTCTCCTCCTCAATGAACTGCAGGGCCACGGTACAGAAGTTGCTCTCATACTGGACCACCAGGTGACTCAGCGCCACCACCAGCTCCTGCACACACACAGGGAGAAAAGTAAACATAAGGATCACTTCTACTGATTGTAACTTCTTAAAATGTAACTTCTTGATATCTTTGAGCCAAGCAGGATTTTTCAAATTAGTAATAAATGTCTACCATAAATAATATAGATTATAAATGAAAAAATGGGTTTTAGGGGCGGTTATGGCTTAGGGGTTATCGTGGTTTGAGTAATACCATTTTTGTGTAATACCATTACATATGTTACACAATTTAAAATCCTATAACTGGATTAAATAGTAGTTCTTCAAAAATGTTGAAACCTTAGTTTCTACTTAAAGATATATCATATCAACATCCGTTTAATTCTATAACATGTTCTGTGAGAGAGTTTTGAGCGTCAGTGACCTTGCGGACCACCGGGCTGCCGTCGTTGATTAGCTGGGCCAGCATCATCACCACGTTGTGGTCGATGGTGGTGGAGTGGTCCGTCCGCTCACCAGAGTTCCCCACAAACGTCCCGAGAGCAAAGACGGCCGCACACCTCACCTGCACACACACACACACACACACACACACACACACACACACACACACACACACACACACACACAACAACACACACACACACACACACACACACACACACACACACACACACACACACAACACACACACACACACACCACACACACACACACACACACACACACACACACACACAACACACACACACACACACACACACACACACACAACACCACACACACACACACACACACACACACCACACACACACCACCACACACACACACACACACACACACACACACACCACACACACACACACACACCACACACACACACACACACACACACAGTCAACATCTCTTGGTTCAACAGAGTGTCAGAATTGATGTATTATTGCAGGTCAACCCGGAGAATAGCTTTGCATGGGCTCCCTCAACAAAAATCAATGGGCTTTTTCAATTGGATTTTAGAATATTCCAGAAAATAAGCTTTGTGCCTAACATGTTTATGAGATTTACACATTTTGTTAAGCAGGATAATCTCCACATATAAGTAAAAAGCTAACGTTAGGCTATAAACAAATTACATCAAGGAAGCTAATGTTCAGCGTGATGACGTTTAGCAGTCGTATTTACTCATTTTTTGGCACTGTTTTTATGACACAGAAGCTTTGGACATTCACAAACGGGGTAATTATTTGATGTCGTAGAAAAAGAAAGTACGATCAGTATGAAACCCACTGTAGAATAACAGTGATATGAGCTCCAGTGAGCTGCTTTTGTCACTATAACTCATTAGTTTCTCCACACGCTTTGTTGGACGTTTAATTCAAACTTGCCATCAATCAGGAGGACATTTCCGTGATGAATTGGATTCACAAACTGAACAAATCTCAACCAGCACAATATCTAATATGTGTTTGTTGTATCAACAGAATTTGTTTTAGTTTTTGTGTGCAAGCATCAAGATGTTTTTAATCTTTAGACATTCTACAGCACACAGATGTTGCTTTGACACAGTGTGCTTTTCTCAAATTAAAATGATCGGCTGTAACTTTTCAACTAGTTGTAATTTGAGTTAGAATAAAGGACAAGATGAGGTTTATACAGGCACTGTGACTTCAATCCAAATGAAACACATGACTATCATACTGAAAAGCATCTTAATGTGGCAAACTCACGCACAGAATTCAAACAGACTTGAATTCTTTCTAACCATTTATGCTTCAAGAAGCTCATCTCAATTGAATATTTCACCTCCTCCTTTCCCTCACTCGCGTCCCTTCCTTGCGTCTTAGCTCCGCCTCCGTAAGATGCGAGCGAGGGACACGAGGAGGTGACGCGAGGACAGAGGAGTCCTCAGGTATTAATTGGGATGTCCTCGTTCACTCAAACGTCACTCTTAAACGACGTCCGTTAATGATGACATGTGCACAGCTGTATACCCTCTCATCGGGCTTAACTGAATAACCCTTTAGAACCGGCCCATTTCTGGTTAAATATTTATTTAAATGAAGGAATCTTTCTCTTGTTAGTCAAGGAATGATGGTTGGTCCTGCTTTTGTGTTCCGTTTTGGTGTAAAATGTACATTTAAATAAAAATATAATGATAGTAATGTGAAAGCCTTTACTCTGAACATGTGTGTCCTGTAGATCCCCACATTCACCACAAACCCACATTCAGGACTGTGAATTTTAAATAATGTAACTGCTGAATATCTTAACACAAAACAATAAAAATAATTGTTATTTATCAAGATCTAGCCATTTATGAAATAGCTTTCTTAATAGCTATGTTTTAGTGACGTTCAAGATCATTAAACATGACTTAAATTGTTTAACCTTAAGAAATGAATTGCACATAATAATTCCCACGGAGCTGTGAGCACTTGTCGGTTTTCCTCTGTTGAAATGGACCAGCTGTGAAGGTGGGGGCGGGGCTTTTATGCTTGAGTAGTGAAAACACTTCCGCGTAGTCTGCTCTCGTGTATCCTCCCGCACCCCTCCTCGACTCCTCCGTGTGCATTTCAGCTATTGGGACGTCCTTCGACATGGCGTGTCTTGATCGGTTTCCGGGTCAAGTCCCGGAGGAGGGGAAGAGAGGAGTCGAGGAGGGGTATTGAGTTTAACCTAATGTGGCAACTTCAATTAGGGTACTTTTGGAAGCCGTAGTTAGTAATGATATTGTATTTCCAAGCCTTGTATAAAAACTCACACAACATATAGGAATATGGTAATATGTAGCTGTATCTGTGATTGTCCGGGATACTCATAAACAGTTTAGTGGCACCACTGTGGCTACTGTATGTTTTTTCATTTTAATAATCTGTGCAGGTTTTCAGTCAGTTTCTACATGTTCAGCACAATAAAATGTCAATCCTTGCTTGTTTCTTTAAATGACTGAGGACTAAACAATCTGGGTGCATTTGTGTTTTGCTTTTAAACACATCCTTTCCTTATGATTTGTCTATACCAGGGATCACCAACTACATTTGTCCAAGGGCCAAAATGTATCCAATAGACACTTTCGCGAGCCAGCGATTTTTATATATATAGCCCAGAATTTTTTAATTGTTGACTGGGGGGGGCGGGGGTTAGGGTTAGGGTAATGTTGTGAATCGAGTGGCCCATGGAGGTGGTGGGGTTATGGTATGGGCAGGCGTATGTTATGGACGACGAACACAGGCCACTCGATTCACAACATTACCCTAACCCTAACCCTACCCCTCACACCAGATACTGACTGGTTTTCGGACCCCCCCAGACCCCCCCAATAAAGCAAAACTGCATTTTTCAGAGTGGCCTTTTATTGTGGCCAGCCTAAGGCACACCTGTGCAATAATCATGCTGTCTAATCAGCATCTTGATATGCCACACCTGTGAGGTGGGATGGATTATCTCGGCAAAGGAGAAGTGCTCACTATCACAGACTTTTTCAGATTTGTGAACGATATTTGAGAGAAATGGTTATTTTGTGTTTATAGAAAATGTTTTAGATCTTTGAGTTCATCTCATGAAAAATGGGAGCAAAAACAAAAGTGTTGCATTTATATTTTTGTTCAGTATATATATTCTTGAATTGTCCGAGTGGGACTTTGATACTTTGTTTTTCAGATGACCCCCTCACCTCGGGGATGGGGTCCGTCAGCAGGGTGTAGAGCTTCTCGTGGGCGCTGTCCCGGACCCCGCACCAGCGCGCCGGGTCGAAGTTCTGCCAGATGCGGCCCAGGCAGATGGCCACCCACTGGCGGAGCAGAGGGTGGGGATCCGACAGCTGCTCCAGACAGTTGGCTATTAGGTTGCCTTGCAGACATGCCTCCTGGTGGGGGGGGGGAGAAGGAGTGATGAAAGTTAAAGAGTGTGAGAGATGTTCAGTAGGTTTTAAAACCAATGTACCATTATGAACCATGAAAAGGAAGACAATGTGGGGCAGGGGATCTCAGAGGAAGCGTGTGCAGACCTCGGGTCTTTCTCAATGTCGAGGAGGCTTGCTTGGTAGCGAGGCATTATCTTTCCTAGCCTCGGAAACGAAGAATTGTGGAACAGGCTAACAGGCTAACAGGTGTGCGTCATCCACTTTAAATGGAGCGCTATTTCCGCCAAAGATTTGGAAATTGGTCCGTGCGCAAAGCATTGTGGGGATTTTAAGACGCGGAGTCTACACATGTGCAGCCTCAAAATGTCTCGCTACGAAGTACGCCAGCCTCGGTAGAATTCCAAGTATGCTGGACATTGGAACAGTCCTTCGGCGGGACTCGATGACGTAGTATGCTTAAAATAGTGGCTCTGGAGCAGCTTTACTCGACATTGAGAAACACCCCTCATCTGTCTGCACCACACATGGTTTGATTCAGGGTAAAGATGTTCACCGCACTCATTGGCCTAAAGTCAAGCTGTTCAATGACTATACAGACCGCTCTTGTGAAAATAGTCATTAAAACACCTGTGAACCATGTGCATATGTTTTGGTCTCTGCACAACTACTGGACTTAAAATGTCAATACTCTGAGATAACTTGGATGCTTATAGAGCCTAATGCCATTACTGCAGTATTGGGTGTCCCTCAGCTACCTTTACCTAGGCTAAAAGCGGACATTATAGTCTTTGCAACATTACTGGCAAGACGCCAAATACTAACAAGATGCAACTCGTCTTAAGCGTCTTTGAGTTGTGAAAAACGCTATATAAATAAAATGCATCATCATCATCAACTCACCAACACCACCTTCCCACACTCTGTGGATAAAAGACATGTGTAATCATTTACTATGGGCTCAGAACAGTCTCATAATACACACATGCACACAGAAGGATTCACACTTGTGTTTTTCAAAGCACACACAAATGTGTTCCGTTTCATATACATGTAAATAAAATCCAAATACAGAAAAAGTTTTACATGTGTATTTTTGATCCTCACATATTTGTTTTCCGTTTAAAACCTCTGCACTTGCAAACACAAACTGCTTTCTGTGCACGGATCGCTGTGCATTCGTGTGTGGGTTTTTTGATTCGTACTTGTAATTTCTCTCATCTACAGCCAATCAGATGTCTCCTCCAGTCTAAGCCAATCACATGAGCGCGCCCCCACGAGGGTAGATTTATTGCGTTCATGACGTAGCGCTTCATGTACCATTTTGCGCTGTCCGGAGCTGACAGGTCCATGGAGCCTGCCTGCAGGCGCTAATCTCTGGACACCTCCACTCTCAGTACAGCGCCACTTTCCGAACAGGAAATGCACGCAAATACAAGCCTTTATATTATTACGGTACAGCGCCACTTTCTGAACCATTGATGAATGCTTGTGTACACAAAAAGGGAAGCCAAAACCGTTTTAAATGTGTGTTTCCTGTGTGGCGAATACAGCTGCTTTATTTATGTCAGTATGAAGTTGTTGTGAGTGTGGAGGGAGCAGCTACAGGTTAGCTTAGCCTAGTCGACCAGTGCACTACGAGGGGGAAGGGGGGGGTGGGCCCTGCCGGTCATTATCGGCCGATATTCACTCTTAATAGTTTGATCGGTGCTCTCTATAAAGGCCGATCAGGAGAGCTGGATCTGATCGATATGGACATAAACGCGAGTGAAGTGTAACCGGACGCGAGAGAGAGAGATCAGATCAGCTGCTGAGTCTGACGGAGACACGCAGCTCTGCATGATCACCTGAAGCCCCGCCCACTGTTTAGCGAGCTGACCAGACAGCGCAAAATGCGTACATGAAGTGTCATGAATGCAACAAATCATACCCTTGTGGGGGCGCGCTCCTGTGATTGGCTTAGAATGAAGGAGACATCTGATTGGCTATAGATAGAAAAGATTACAAGTACGAATCGGCTGACCGTCAGGGGAGTCTCAAAAAACCCACACACGAATGCACAGCGATCCGTGCACAGGAAGCGGTTTGTGTTTGCAGGTTCAGAGGTTTTAAACGGAAAACAAATATGTGAGGATCAAAAATACATATGTAAAACTTGTTTCTGTATTTGGATTTTATTTACATGTATATGAAACGGAACACATTTGTGTGTGCTTTGAAAAACACAAGTGTGGATCCGGAAATACAAGTGTGAATCCTTCTGTGCGCATGTGTGTATTATGAGACTGTTCTGAGCCCATAATTTACAGCTTGAAAACATCTGTCACACACTGAAAGGCTCCTCCAGGAAGTCATTCACAGATTCTTACCATAAATTGCATGGCAGTGAGAAGGAAGAAATCAGAGGAATTAGCACAAGTTAGGACCCTAACTCCCTCAGTGTGACAGCTGACCTAATCCATGACAAATGATCTTCACTAGTTCTCAATGTGTGGTTAAAACAGGAAAGGCATTTTTTCAATCCACCATACGCCGGTTTTTTAAGTTAAGGAGTGATAGAGAGATAATACGTCTGTGTATCCGCATTATTCAGAAGGGAATCACAGAGGCTTGGTCGATGCTTTAGCTAAGTGTCGGAAACTTGGCGGACTTCAAGACAATAATTCAGAAATCACCTTATAATAAAGTTTAAAAAAAACTCTGGTTTATCTTACCAGTTTGTCATGCATTCATTTATTACAACACAACACGTGTATTGGTTTAATCTCCCCCTTAAATACAAGTAAATATTAGTATTTTAAACTTGTAATCAAGATTAATCACATATTATTATTGTCATGGAGTGATATCACTAGTGTTGAGGTAGGGGCATTTCCTGGACCTGGAAACATTCGGGGCTTAGCCCACAGTGGCGGCGGCCGCGACGCTACAGTGGAATGTTGTACTGCAACACTCCCCACACGCACACACACAGTACACCGCGACTGTTACAATGAAGGCTCGATAATCAGCTCAGGGCATATAGGTGTAAGCAGGGGTAAAGTGCTATTTTGTATAAGTGGGGGGACCTAACCTCCTCTAGGGGGGTCCGGGGGGCGTCTATCGTTTTTCCAACCCAGTTTAGATTTAACCACGCCCACTTCCGCATTACGCAAGTATCGACGTAGCTCTATGCGATAGCGTCATAGACGCGGCACACCCGCGAAATCTGACCCGCGAAATACCGTCCTTTTAAACGCCGCATAATATACAATATAATAGTGCTTCTTTGTCAATATGACTGACGACCACACTTATGCAGTGCTGAGGTAATGTTAATTCATCATTTAATATGAATTCCTGATGGATATAAGAGGGATACATTAGCAAACATCTGTATATATAGCCTATATATAATGTTTCGTTTTTTTGTTTGTCATGTAACGGCCAACGTTTTGACCTTCTGTTTAGGATATAAAGGTATCTATTTAATATTTTATTTAAAGATAGACATTTATAAATGTCTATTTTGTTATATAATACAACATATAACATTTTACATTAATAACAGGCATGCTTATAACACAGTCAACCCTTATTCAGAGTGCCTAATAAATGTATATATTTTTTTACAGTGCAGATTTTGGCTTTTTTGGGACCATCGCACTTGTGTGTAAGTAACAAGTATGCTGTATAATCTGCAACAACTGTCAGGTGGTGTTATTGATTATCTTTGCAAAAGAGCCCCGACCAATATTGATTTTGAAAAATATCTTTTAATTGAAATGGAGCAAAAACAAAAGGGTAGAATTGATCATACCATATAATGTTATTATTGCAACTGTTTTTATTATATTGTGTTGTTTTGTTTATATATATATATATATATATATATGTATGTGTACAAATGAATTAATATAAAGTGTATAAATGTGAGTGTGTGTATAAATTAATGAATACATCTAATAATAATAATAATGCATTTTATTTATATAGCGCTTTTCACAACTCAAAGACGCTTTACAGTATGAGGGAGGGTAGACAAACAAGGACAGGCAAACAAGTAAGTATAGTAAAATAAATAAAATAAATAAAATAAATAAAATAAATAAAATAAATAAAATAAATAAAATAAATAAATAAATAAAATAAATAAAATAAATAAAATAAATAAAATAAATAAAATAAATAAAATAAATAAAATAAATAAAATAAATAAAATAAATAAAATAAATAAAATAAATAAAATAAATAAAATAAATAAAATAAATAAAATAAATAAAATAAATAAAATAAATAAAATAAATAAAATAAATAAAATAAATAAAATAAATAAAATAAATAAAAATAAAAGGCAGTCAAGAGGAAGTTGATTGAGAGGGGGGGGGGGGCTTATGGGTAGACAGAGTTGAAAATATGTGTTTTGAGGCGGGACTGAAAGACTGTGAGGGACTCAGAGTCACGGAGATCTTGGGGGAGGGAATTCCAGAGCCTATAGCTGCCACTGAGAAGGCTCTGTCCCCAAAGCTGCAGAGTGTGGATGTGGGAATGGATAGGAGTCCGGCTGCGGTGGATCTGAGGGACCGTGGAGGTTGATAAGGAGTGAGAAGGTTTGTGAGATAAGGGGGGGCCAGATGGTGGAGTGCTTTGTAAGTGAGGACCAGAACTTTGTAGTTGATGCGATGGGAGACAGGAAGCCAGTGCAGGTCTTTGAGGACTGGGGTGATGTGATGCCATGATTTGGTATGTGTCAGGAGACGGGCAGCTGCATTTTGAACCCGTTGGAGTCTGTTGAGGGATGTAGTGCTGATCCCGTAAAGAAGTGAGTTGCAGTAGTCGAGGCGGGAGGAAATGAAGGCATGGATTAGTCGTTCGGCTGCGGGGCGGGTGAGAGAGGGTAGGAATTTTGCAATATTGCGGAGGTGGAAAAATTAGGTTTTGACTGTTTGGCGGATGTGAGGTTCGAGGAAGAGGGTGGGGTCAAAGATTACGCCAAGGTTGCGTGCCTGATTGGAGGGGGAAACAAT